GGCTACAATGATCCATAGCATCTCCGTAATGGTGCAAATATTTTTTTATATATATAGGAAAGCGACTCGTCAATATAGTCAAAATTAGCAATCGTCAAAATTTAAATTTTTTTTAATCTGATGTTTTCAATAGCATTCGTAATGGTGCAAATATTTTTTTTAATAGGAGCGACTGCAGGCAAAATAGATTATTTTTACATTCAACTTACTTCTAATAAGACGAAATTTTTATTCACTGTCAACAACAGACCCCGTTAAATGCGAAAAACTTGTAAAATAACTCTGCATGTTTCCTGGTAGTTTACTTCAGCAGCCATGACAGTTCACGCGTGACGTAATGAAACTTTCGCTTGAAATTTAGAACAACTGAATAAAGCAATTATCGGTGTTTATAAATGATTGTGCTGAATTTCATCACAAAAACATAGGTATATGAAACCATTTTAGGTGTTATTTTTATGCAAGCAGCGATATTTATGCTTAAAATAAGGGAATTCCAAAAAGATCCGCTCCTATAGAACCTAAATTCTCATTGGCTGTCCCAAAATACAATCTATCAAGGTCAGTAAACATGGCGGATAAATTCGAGTTGTGATGTTGACATACACGAAAAATAAGCGATATAGGGATCGTTCTGTATATTTTTGCATTGATTTACGTCTTGGATGACTACTTATTTGGAGTCAAGGTAAGAGATGTTAATAAAATAGCCATTTACTGATAATTTAAGCCGAAATCCGTGCGGGAGTGAATCACACCCGCAGCTGCACCATTATGGAGATCCTAAGGAGTTGTAGCCCTCTCCCAAAAAAAAAAAAAAAAAAAAAAAAGGGAGAGGGCTACATTATTGCAGCTACGAAACTTCTGCCGCCGCCATACTTTGTTTACTTGTGTATTTTCCCGTGATGCTTCACGGTGATCTATTTTTACTGGAGTTATTTCGGCGGAAGATTTGATTGTAAATTCTTTTAAATTAAATGTTAAACAGTGTTAAATGAGCTTTTAAAAGTGTAACTTTATGTTTTATGAATTTATTTAATTTATTTACGTATTGTAATAATTTCGCATACGATGTACGAGAGTGAGATTTCGTTACGGGACGATGATTATATTTGATTGGCTGATTATTATTTACGGGATGGAATTATTAGTTATGATTGGTTATGAATTATTGCGGGTTTTGTTAATTCTATAAATACTCGGATGCTGAATATCGTTTGCTCTCTCGTTTTCTTTGTGACCTAGAGAAAGGTTGCCAGTTTTGTCCAGAGTAATTTAAGGTGTGTACTATTTCAGTATCTAAGTGACTGAAGTACATAATATGTAAAGTTAGGATAGGCTAAATTCATATTACTAGTAATTGTACTAGTTTTATTTATAATTACTAGTTGTGAACTAGTTATTTTTATCTTCTTTAGCCCAGTTTAGGAGTTAGGAAATATTTCTGCTGCGTGCTAGTAATTGAACTAGTAGCGGGAATATTTATTTGTAAATTAATTATAAGTCATTTTATAGAGAGCCTTTTTGTTTTATTTTGGTCGGGGGAATTCATACTTAAATTATAAATTACTGGAAATAGTGCCAGTTGCCCAGTTATATCAGTAGTTGTACTGATTTTGTCTTTTGTCCCGAGGGTTGAGACTTGTGTGAATTTCAAACATTGTTATTTGTTTTCGCTGTTCATGTGTTGCTGAATAAAATTATAAAACTTTACATCGAAGTTTTTGTTCTCAGCACAAGACAGGCGTTCCGAAGCGTTACACATTGTATAATATGAGTGATGTTTTGGCAGGGGCATTAATTGCGTAGTTTAAGTACACTTTCGAAGTAATATAATTTCCTTTCTAACCCTCATCACTTTTCATGTATTCAAAAGAAATTGGATCCTAAGGGACCTTTCCCTTTATTTGACCACAGTAGATCTAAGCACTACCACTGATTAAGGGGGATGTACGGCCACTTTTAGTGCAGTGTGAGCAAAATGTAAACATTTCTTTAAATGGCTAAAATACATTATATTTTGATCAAATTTTAAGTCTTTTTGATAAAGATACAATAAATATGCATAACCGAATGCATGTTGTGCATATATAATCTATACTTTTGCAGAAAAATGCTTTTGATATGCTCCTTAGAACTGCGCAGCTACAGAATTCAGCAGAGCCTTAAAAAATCCAAAAAAATATGCAAACTGTGTATTAATGTTCTCTCTACAACCATTTGTTGAGAAAATGTCTAAATTTTGCACATTTAAATGATAATTTCAAGTTCAAAACAAGGTACCGTTGTCTTCAAAAAGAGTGTAAAGAACCATGAAAGTAGTTCATGGATAGCAGCACGTGGTCTATTTTTAGCACAGAATCTTGTTTTCCAGACCTCTTCTTAATATGGAGGGGCATAACAATCTTTAAATGTAGAAGAGAATTACAGTTGCAAAATATTTCAAATAATATGAACACTTTTAAAAGAGAAAATGTGTTGTAGTATTTCTTGAAGTAATTTATTTAGTAATATTATCGAACAGTTGTTAAATAGTTTACGTATTAATATAAAAAAAAATTAAACTCTTTGACTCCAGGTAAGGAAAAATAAGCACCATCAAAGTTAAAAATTAAGAGTTTGTAAGTTTGCCACAGATAAATTATATTATCTATTAAAATTTTAATTATCACCAATAAAACACAAAGAAATTAGACACATAAAATTGATACGAATGACCTTGTTTTAGTACCTACTAGTACGAAGCGTTATCAAAAAGTTCGCGAAATATCTCTATATCTACAAAACCACAATTCAGATTAGATAGCCAAACACAAGTTCTATAAATAGCATATGCTGAAGTTTTCTTCCTTGTTTTTGATGTCACAATCTGAAAATGACGTCATTATTCAGGTACTTTTGACGAAAAATGGTTGTCTCAGTGAAACTCGTTCAACAAACGACTATAATATTTATGGCACATGTATATCTTACAAATGCCTTAGAAGTAGCGTATTAGAATTTGTTCACAGTTTATTAAATGGCTTCATATAATTTCAATCAATGATTGGATATGGTTTTAGTGAAGGAAGGCAGATGGTTAAATATGATACTTGTTATGTTGCCCGGTGAAAGCAAGTTTGAAAAGGGATGTGTTTTTTTAAAGCAATATGCTATCAAAGACCTTCAATTAAAATTTTACACTTTGAAAAATACTTGAATATTTCAACAATAATATAAATATCAAATACCTAAGATATTGTTTACTTTTTTATCACCCCTCGTATACTGTGTCAAATAAACATGCATTTACAATTTTCATTACAGAGGAGCAACAGTTGAAAAGGCATGAAATCATTCACAGTGGGTTAGGAGATTTAATGAATAATTTTTTTTTCTATTTGCCCATATTTCCAAAATTACAAATGTACAAAGTAAAGAGAAAAAATCAACTTATAAACATCTCTAAAATGATGTTTGGTGGTCCTCCCAACTCAGGGAAAAATTATTGGGTCCGTATTTATGGGTGAGAAAAAAAATTCCTTAAAATTTAAACAGAATTGTTGACGGAAGAAAAAGAAAAAAATATCGTGTAATGGGATGTTAAAAAAATGAGTCGGGCCATTTCTAGGCAGTAGATCGGGAGAGAGGGCAACCAAATATTTTTATAACAAGTGGTCTTATAAGGCTAGTACATGTTCCATCTAATACTTAGTAATGCAATTTTTTTAATCTTTGTCACTGTTTTGAAAAACAAACATAGGATTTTCGGGGCGCGGGGGGGGGGGGGGGGGGTTAGCACTCTTTTTTTTTGCAATTATAGACTAGCATATGCAATGGACCTTTCTTTGCAAACATTGTGCTCGTTTCTAAATTTCATAGAAACAACTCATTATATTTCATCAAGCTTCGTATGTTCAATGAGCGAGAGCTTACAACGTTGTCAACATAATGAGACATGATGCGTTTTTGTGTCCAAACATGACCCCATACAATGTGTGGGTCATTGCAAACATTCTAGATGTTTATGTGAGGTGCCTGAAGGAAATCCTATAACTGCCTATTTTTTCTACCTAACTTCTAAACAAAATAGACATATGTACCAACTTTTCGAATGTAAGACATGTAATTACAATTTATTTTTCATGCACTGCATATTGTTTAACATTTTCAAATTAAATGCTAAGCATCCTCCTTGCAGTGCCCCATTTGAAAATAACTTCTATCGCCACAGAAAAAAGACCCACCGTAAACACATATGTTTAGGACATTTTTATCTTTTTTTTCTTGAGTTTTAAAGAAACCAACAAATTATCAAGACTTGTACATGTTCCATAAAAATTAAATATAATCATGGTAATAAACGGATCTATCCACAGCAGATATATGAACATGCCAACCATGTGCTTAGTGGAATAATATTTACGAGGAATTTCGAGTTGTAAACAGGACATTTTTTCCCGATTTGCTGGAGTAGGGTTAAAATCGCGTTTTTTCATTAATCAGACGATGCGATGCAACAAATAAAAGTAGTAAGTAATATAACCTAATGATTATTACTTAGTAATTTCTTGTCTTGATGTAATTATGGTCGCATTTATTCTAAAATCATATTTAAATTGTTATTCGAACTCTGTGTGACAGAGGAATGGCGGACGAAATAAACACATGGCCTCAGGAAGACACCCATATGAAAAATCAAATTTTCAAGAATTATGGATAATGACAAGAAAAAAACGAAACAAATGGTTGTAGCCATATTATCAATGAATCAAACTAACTCCATTTTCAATGCATTTTTCATCTCATGAATGCTGTAGCTGCGCAGTTCTAACAAGATTAATTTTCTCCTAATTAAGACAAAATAAACTTGATTATTTACTAATTTTGGTCTCTAACAGTAGGTAATTAGTGCATTAGCACTTTGAGTAACTTTGAGCTAGTTTAGTTGAGTATTAAGCGCATTCTTGGTATTTCTTAGTTTACAGCAGACTAGATCCAATATGGCTTGTACATCCCCCTTAAGGCACTAAGTCTTTTCCTGTTCCTTTCGAGATCCGGCTAGGTGAAATCTGGCAGCTGATATAATTTTCGATATTTTCTACAATAAACAATTGACAATTTAATTTTTTTTCGATTGAAAGAATTGAATTTGATATTTTTCCCTACAATTTTGTCTTTTTCTTGACAAAAAAGTAAGACTGCTTTGAAGATATAAAAAAAATTATGTTAGAAAATATTTTGAAAGTGTGCCATATTTTGTGTCTGTTCAGTCATTTACATGTTATATTATAAGTGATCAAAAATTGTTATTGAACTGCAATAATTGAAAACAATCTATGAGGACCTATATATTACTTACATTTTAGCGATCTCGGCCACGAGGACAATGCACAATGCAATTGCAATCGATCCTAGAATGGCCGCTGTCATTTTCCAATTTTTGGATAACCAATCCTTGAATTAAAATTCAGGTACAAAAATAACAAGATTGTGTTATTTTTATGTCTATTAAAGGCAAAACAAAAGCAATGGGAAGAAAGCGCAAAATAAAACAAAATATGTTGGACACAGTTAAGAATGGGGTTGGTTAGAATTAAGACTAATTTGCTTTATTACACAGCAGCTGTATGTTACCTGCTCTCGGGTTCTTTTGGCATTCTGGCGTCCCTCTGGTATATGAAGTATGATTGGCGGATAAACATGTGTGTTCAATTTTAGTAGGTGATCCAGAATGAATGGATGTAATTTCTGTTGAATCATCAGCGAACAATTGCATACTAATTCAAATGAAAGTGTCGTTATGGTATTTTTGTCCGTTAACCTGAAACAAAATACAAGAGAAATATGCTACTTTCATTAAATAAGTGTCAAAGTTGATTTTTTTAAACAAAGTCCCTCAAGGCTATACGGTCGAAATCGTGCATTTGTACCTAAGTAAAGAATGGGTAGGTCACATTGAAAACCAAGTCAAATATAAGAATCTATAATATATGGTAAGCTTTTTTTATAAAATTTTGCAAACGAAGATCAAATGAAAGGTCAAGAAAGAGAGGTCAAATATATCGATACCCAAATAAAGCTTATGTCAAAAGATATACCCTTGTGAAATATGCAAGTCCTAGCACTACTTGTAACAATTTTATCAAGAGGCCCATGGGCCACATCGCTCACCTGAGAAGCTTTGACCATGCTTTTCTTAACCAAATTTTCCCCTTGTCATACCTATTGTGACCCCATCATACCCCACAGGTCATAATTTGGTCAATTTGAAATCTAAACTACCCCAGGATGCTTCCACATAAGTTTCAGTTTTTCTGGCCCAGTAGTTCTTGAGAAGATTTTTTAAAAAATGATCCCATATATTTCTCTGTAAAACTATGATTCCCTATTCCCTATTCCTATTGTGACCCCGCCCAACCCCCGGGGGCATGATTTGAACAATTTAGAATCTACATTATCCAAGGATGCTTCCACATAAATCTAAGTTTTTCTGGCCCAGTGGTTCTTGAGAAGAAGATTTTAAAAGATTTTTCCTATATATTTCTATGTAAAACTTTGATTGTGGCCCCGCCCAACCCCCGGGGCATGATTTGAACAATTTAGAATCTACACAATCCCAGGATGCTTTCACATAAGATTCAGCTTTTCTGGCCCAGTGGTTCTTGAGAAGAAGATTTTTAAATGACCCCACTCTATTTTTGTCTTATCTCCCCTTGTGAGAGGACCTAGCCCTTCATTTTAACAATTTAAATTCCCCTTTACCCAAGGATGCTTTTTTCTAGGTTTGGTTAAAATTGACCCAGTGGTTCTTGAGAAGAAGTCGAAAATGTGAAAAGTTTACAGACGGACGGACAAAATCTGATCAGAAAAGCTCACTTGAGCCTTCGGCTCAGGTGAGCTAAAAATACGGCCAAGGTTTATTTTTTACGGACAAACAGAAAAACAAACAGATGGACCAAAAACTATATGCCGCTATGCTGTCGAATACAGGGGCATTTGAAATAAATTGTTTAAATGAGATATTATTCATACTCAGTGTTTAGATGGTAATTGGCTGGACTCCTGGGCAAATCAAGATCGAGAAAGGCTTATAAGAAATTTACACAAATATAAAATAATGTTTGACTTACTTTTTCTTTGAACTTTTGGAAACAATGGCGTACACCAATTTATTATCTGTGCATCTTAAAGCTTCCGTCAAGTTATGAAAAAACTCTTGAATCCCGGCTTCAGTTAAAATTCCTCGAAACATAAGAGTTGAAAAAAAATCACTTCCATTCTCTTCCTTACAATAATTCTCACACAAATATTGACAACAAGGGTATACATCAACCCTATTCCGCCGTGCCTGTGAAATCTTATCCTTACATTTCAAATCAACATCATTCCAACATGATTCATGTGATCCATGTTTGTTGTCTCTGCAAAATATCTCACAATTTGGACCAAAATAATTCTTGTCACAAATGAATGTGCCGTTTTCCAAACAACTTCCATTTGGCCTGCTTCTATTACAAGATATCTCACAATTTGGACCAAAATAATTCTTGTCACAAATGAATGTGCCGTTTTTACTACATGATCCATTAGGCCTGCTTCTATTACAAAATATCTCACAATTTGGACCAAAATAATTCTTGTCACAAATGAATGTGCCGTTTTCCAGACAACTTCCATTCGGCTTGTTCCTATCAAAAATTATCTCACAGTTTTCACCAAAATAATTCTTGTCACAAATGAATGTGCCGTTTTTACTACATTTGTGTCCATTAGGCCTGCTTCTATTACAAAATATCTCACAATTTGGACCAAAATAATTCTTGTCACAAATGAATGTGCCGTTTTCCAAACAACTTCCATTTGGCCTGCTTCTATTACAAAATATCTCACAATTTGGACCAAAATAATTTTTGTCACAAATGAATGTGCCGTTTTCCAAACAAGTTCCATTTGGCCTGCTTCTATTACAAAATATCTCACAATTTGGACCAAAATAATTCTTGTCACAAATGAATGTGCCATTTTCCAAACAAGTTCCATTTGGCTTGTTCATATTACAAAATATCTCACAATTTGGACCGAAGTAATTCTTGTCACAAATGAATGTGCCGTTTTCCAAACAACTTCCATTTGGCTTGTTCCTATCACAAAATATCTCACAATTTTCACCAAAATAATTCTTGTCACAAATTAATGTGCCGTTTTCCAAACAAGTTCCATTCGGCTTGTTCCTATCACAAAATATCTCACAATGTTCACCAAAATAATTCTTGTCACAAATTAATGTGCCGTTTTCCAAACAACTTCCATTCGGCTTGTTCCTATCACAAAATATCTCACAATGTTCACCAAAATAATTCTTGTCACAAATGAATGTGCCGTTTTCTAAACAAGTTCCATTTGGCTTGTTCCTATCACAAAATATCTCACAATGTTCACCAAAATAATTCTTGTCACAAATGAATGTGCCATTTTCTAAACAAGTTCCATTTGGCTTGTTCCTATCACAAAATATCTCACAATTTTCACCAAAATAATTCTTGTCACAAATGAATGTGCCGTTTTCTAAACAACTTCCATTCGGCTTGTTCCTATCACAAAATATCTCACAATTTTCACCAAAATAATTCTTGTCACAAATGAATGTGCCGTTTTTACTACATGATCCATTAGGCCTGCTTCTATTACAAAATATCTCACAATTTGGACCAAAATAATTCTTGTCACAAATGATTGTGCCGTTTTCCAAACAAGTTCCATTCGGCTTGTTCCTATCACAAAATATTTCACAATTTTCACCAAAATATTTCTTGTCACAAATGAATGTGCCGTTTTCCAAACAAGTTCCATTTGGCCTGCTTCTATTACAAAATATCTCACAATTTGGACCAAAATAATTCTTGTCACAAATGAATGTGCCATTTTCCAAACAAGTTCCATTCGGCTTGTTCATATTACAAAATATCTCACAGTTTTCACCAAAATAATTCTTGTCACAAATGAATGTGCCGTTTTTACTACATGTTCCATTAGGCCTGCTTCTATTACAAAATATCTCACAATTTGGACCAAAATAATTCTTGTCACAAATGAATGTGCCGTTTTCCAAACAACTTCCATTTGGCCTGCTTCTATTACAAAATATCTCACAATTTGGACCAAAATAATTTTTGTCACAAATGAATGTGCCGTTTTCCAAACAAGTTCCATTTGGCCTGCAAAATTCTATTACAAAATATCACAAATGAATGTCACAATTTGGACCAAAATAATTCTTGTCACAAATGAATGTGCCATTTTCCAAACAACTTCCATTTGGCTTGTTCCTATCACAAAATATCTCACAATTTTCACCAAAATAATTCTTGTCACAAATTAATGTGCCGTTTTCCAAACAAGTTCCATTCGGCTTGTTCCTATCACAAAATATCTCACAATGTTCACCAAAATAATTCTTGTCACAAATGAATGTGCCGTTTTCCAAACAACTTCCATTCGGCTTGTTCCTATCACAAAATATCTCACAATGTTCACCAAAATAATTCTTGTCACAAATGAATGTGCCGTTTTCTAAACAAGTTCCATTTGGCTTGTTCCTATCACAAAATATCTCACAATGTTCACCAAAATAATTCTTGTCACAAATGAATGTGCCGTTTTCTAAACAAGTTCCATTTGGCTTGTTCCTATCACAAAATATCTCACAATGTTCACCAAAATAATTCTTGTCACAAATGAATGTGCCGTTTTCTAAATAACTTCCATTCGGCTTGTTCCTATCACAAAATATCTCACAATTTTCACCAAAATAATTCTTGTCACAAATGAATGTGCCGTTTTTACTACATGATCCATTAGGCCTGCTTCTATTACAAAATATCTCACAATTTGGACCAAAATAATTCTTGTCACAAATGATTGTGCCGTTTTCCAAACAAGTTCCATTCGGCTTGTTCCTATCACAAAATATTTCACAATTTTCACCAAAATATTTCTTGTCACAAATGAATGTGCCGTTTTCCAAACAAGTTCCATTTGGCCTGCTTCTAATTTCATTTAATTCAATTCTAGTTCCATTTGGCTTGTTCATATTACAAAATATCTCACAATTTGGACCAAAATAATTCTTGTCACAAATGAATGTGCCATTTTCCAAACAAGTTCCATTCGGCTTGTTCATATTACAAAATATCTCACAATTTGGACCGAAGTAATTCTTGTCACAAATGAATGTGCCGTTTTCCAAACAAGTTCCATTCGGCTTGTTCCTATCACAAAATATCTCACAATCTGGACCGAAATAATTCTTCTCACAAATGAATGTGCCATTTTCTAAGCAAATTCCATTCGGCTTGTTCCTATCACAAAATATCTCACAATTTTCACCAAAATAATTCTTGTCACAAATGAATGTGCCGTTTTTACTACATGATCCATTAGGCCTGCTTCTATTACAAAATATCTCACAATTTGGACCAAAATAATTCTTGTCACAAATGAATGTGCCGTTTTCCAAACAAGTTCCATTCGGCTTGTTCCTATCAAAAATTATCTCACAGTTTTCACCAAAATAATTCTTGTCACAAATGAATGTGCCGTTTTTACTACATGTTCCATTAGGCCTGCTTCTATTACAAAATATCTCACAATTTGGACCAAAATAATTCTTGTCACAAATGAATGTGCCGTTTTCCAAACAAGTTCCATTCGGCTTGTTCCTATCACAAAATATCTCACAGTTTTCACCAAAATAATTCTTGTCACAAATGAATGTGCCGTTTTCCAAACAAGTTCCATGCGGCTTTTTCCTATCACAAAATATCTCACAGTTTTCACCAAAATAATTCTTGTCACAAATGAATGTGCCGTTTTTCAGACAAGTTCCATTCGGCTTGTTCCTATCACAAAATATCTCACAATTTGGACCGAAATAATTCTTGTCACAAATGAATGTGCCGTTTTCCGAACAAGTTCCATTCGGCCTGCTTGAGTTACAAATTATTTTACAATTTTCACCATAATGGTTAGTTTTACACTTATTTATACCTTGATCGCAAATGGACTCCTTGTATAGAGGAATGCAGTCGTAGAATAAGCGGTACGTAATATTAAAGCTGTAAAATTAGAAAAAATAGCAAATAGTATTTTTTTTTTTGTCAAGGGAATCGTAGATAGTATTTCTTATGAAATATCAAGAACAAAGATTTTACTAGATTGTATCCTTTTTGCTCTGCAACGGAAGAGTATCTGGCCTGAATTCTGCGTTTCTAGTAGGAGCAACATCGTGAAGACGAAATATTTGCCCAATTACAGTTGTGCTGTTCGTTTTCAAATAAATAGCACAAGAAGAGTTTTGCTTGAAAAAAAGAAATACTGATTTACTATGCAATAAATGGCACATGAAGAGTTTTGCTTGAAAAACAAACAACAAAAAAGTACTGATTTACTATGCACCCTCCGACATCCCGCATTAAAAGAAATGCAGAGAGGATGGTATACATAGGTTTGTTGTATTTTTTTAAAGAAAAAAAAACCTGTAAATTAATTCACTGGACTCCATATGAAGATAAAAAAAATGTTTGATTGTGATGAAACAACAGCGTTTAAGGGCGAAAGAATACAATTGTCCTCTTTGATACAATATATATATATATATATATATATATATATATATATATATATATATATATATATATATATAGATAGATAGATGGATAGATAGATAGATAGATAGATAGATAGATAGATGAGACTCACAAAACTGTTAAAGTCTGAATAGTAGAAGCTCAGCGTGTTATTGGTAAATCCCAGCATGCTCAGGTCAGGTGTCTGGTGAAGCGTGACGGGCGAATACGTCATTTCGTGGAACATGACATTAAGGTAGCTTAAAGCAAGATAAAAAATATGATCACTGGATCCTTTAAAGAAAATCTGCTGTGGTAACAAAACAGATAAAACAATTACACAGAATTCTGAATTAAAGTGAAAAAATACACTTCTTTAAAATTGCAAGAATAAATTCACATTATGAGCATGCACTTTTGATTTAAAATTAAACCTGTCATATGTAAAAATGTCATTATGTAAGACACGTATAAGGTAAAGTATCTACATGGTGCATTTTTTTTTTACATATTTCAAAACGAATTGGGGAAATTCAGTTTACTTTTGACTTCCTGCGCGTGAGAATGGATATGGGTGGGCCATAGCTGCAGAACTGTAGCTCTCCGAAAAAAATTATATTGATAGACCGGAGAGCTACAGTGCCACCCATAGAAAAAACTGTTTATTTATTGCGCACAAAAAAGTGTGCACTGTTCTGGATTAAGTCTTCCAAATTCTTACCTCAATTGCAAAATAGCTAGATTTCAATAAAGTCCATACTTCTCTATCAATTACTTTCGTAGTTTACATCTGTACAATGCGTGTTGGACCAAATTACCTTGCAAACCAAAATGGCATTATAAAAAGGCGAATTTTTCGATGATCTCAGTTTTAGGGCCAGGATGGCTATTAAAACAATTATAAGGAGTGTTTTGTTGTGGAATCAGTGAAAGAATACGTTAGGAACACATGGCTAGTGATAATTTGAGATGACGACTTTAAAAACACGGAGAAATAAATCCAGAAACAGCGCACTTTTTTATGCGCAAAATATACAGTTTTTTCAATGGGTGGCACTGTAGCTCTCCGGTCTATCAATATATAATTTTTCGGAGAGCTACAGTTCTGCAGCTAGGTGGGCCAGTGTTTTTCGAGTATTGTTATTTGAAATAATTTTAAGTGAAAATAATAATTTTTGAGTTTGTGAGTATAGAGTACCATATATGCATGTTCGTCTGTCGTACATGTTCAAACAAGTCAAATGAAAGAAGTCAAATTAAAAAAAATAATAAAATAATTTCAAGAGTACATTACCTTTGTTGAATAGTAAGGTCATATATAACGTTCAATGCATTTTCTGGAATATGTGTTTTTACTAATTGAATTTCAAAAAAGACTCCACCGGGTTTCCTCTGACATGTAAGGTTACCGTCTGTACTGCAATTACAGTTCTCAAAATCAGAGGAATTGCAGTAACGCTGACAACGATCACCATAGTAACCTGGCGCACAAACTACGTGACCATATTCGTTACAAATTTGGTTTTTACCAGAATGACAGTCATAGTAAACCTGAATTACAGCGTCAACCCTACAAAAAAGTTATTACGGTGAAAATGTATTCAGTAAGAATATGTTGCTTTTGCTGGAAAATATGATGTTTTAATAATTATAATTTATTCAAATAATTGAAAAGATACATACCATAAACTTGTTCTGTTGCTTTTAAGCCTTATTGTATGATTAGATGCTGGAGGTTTAGTACTAGACACTTTTTCTAGTTTTAAAATCTGTGTGTAATTTTCATGCTTATTACAGCTCACATTGAAATTTACTTGGGGTTTATTCTACAATAAATATAGTGGTCAACGTCTGTGAAAGTAGAAATTGCAGAATTGCACACAGTTATTTGTGTTTCAAATCCCATTTAATTTATAAATACAGTACTCACATGTGAATCACTATCCGGAAAATAAAACTTCATCGTACTCCCTTCCGTATTGTGGTCTCCTAGCAAAGTTTCCAAACTATTAAGTTCTGTTCGACAAAATCCAACATTTTCATAACTAAAAGGAGAAAATGATAGTCAAAGTCATTAATTAATAATTTGTTTTTTGTCTTTTCTTTGTGTGTTATTTTTTTTACTGCTTGTTCTTCTAGTCAAGAGCAAAAGTGTATTCAATGAAATGTTCAAACTCTTTTTATGATATTCTATATTTAATGGAAACGCTACCATCTTCCTAAAGTTGCTAATTCAAAAAAAAAAGAACATATTCACCACCAAAGTCTGAATAATTGATATTAAGAACGTTGAAAACAAGGTTAGAATTATTTATAGACGAGAGATCAAAATTGGACAAAAGAATAAGTGTTATGACTTATGAATATGTCTGGGACGGAGGGTTAAGGTTTGACTAACACTAAAAATATTTGATACAAAGTTGTTTTTCCTTTTTTTTTGTATTTTATATTTAAGTTTATTTCTTTGTCTTTATATAATTTGAAAAGACTATTCCTTCTTTATTTCCGAGGGCTTTTGCATATACATTGTATTTTAAAAGTGAGAATATTGAGAATTTGATATAAAAGTTTTTTTAGAGTATTACAATACAAATACTGGTAATTAACAAAATAAATTGCAATTTTTTTTTACATAGTCGAACCTGATAAAATCATTGTTTGTCCTTAACTGATTTTGGTCAAGAGTTTGACTTCTATGGTCAATTTCAATATAGAATTCAGTTTTCATATTATGTTCTTTAGCTCAATCTTACGAGAACAATTAAATACTAATGTGTCAATTTTATCATTTCAGGGGTGTATGGAATAAAAATGTATTTTTTTTTCGTATATGACTCTTTAACAATAAAAAGCAAATTTTAATAGGTTTAAAACAAATACTGAAACTGACTTACGTTTGACTGAAAGAAATAGAACAACTGCTGTTGAGATTTGATTTCTTCACATTCATTTCTAAGAAGATTCCGAGAGACTTTCCCTCACACACCAACATTGTATTGTTCTTTATGCACGTACAGCTACTGAACATGCTGGCGTTGCAGTAGGCTGAGCACACATCAATATAAGGACTGACTCCAGACAACGATTGAAGGATTAACAGCTGAAAGGTACAAAATATGTGTGTATTTGACATGAATAATCGTATATATATCTCGTATATTGATACCTCCACTTAAAATTTGAATACTTTGGGCCATAATTAAAATATTTTTGTTTAATGTACTTAGACCCATATTTTTTAAGGTGAGTAGGTAGGAAGGAAAATATTTTTTTTTTCTTTTTGCTTTACGGTATTGCACAAAATGATACCTGTCATGAAAATCAGTCTCAGAAATTTATTCATGCTTTCATTACATACCTGATAGCTTTACAGATTTGATATTTTTTTAAAATTACATCCTTGAAAAATTATACTGTGAAAAACTTAATAAAAAAAATTTCAGATTCAAAATGCTGAAAAAAATGATTGGGTATAGGGACAATTTTGACCAGTCGGTCGGAGTACAGCAAACAGATTAATTTTTTTTATTCTTACCCCGATGTTCGTAAGCATTTTCATATTCAATGAAAGTAAAACAGGTTCCGAAATTAGAAAAGAGTTGAATGGTTTCAAGAATATAAACTTACCTCCACAAAAAGAAAGGAAAGAATAAAAAAAGGACTTGACTTTAAAATAAACATCCTTCCAGCTTGTAAATCTTTATCTTGAGTAGTGGGTAGAAGAAATTGTTATACAACGGTGATATGATAAAGGGCTGTGTATGTAACTATCCCATACTGAAACATTTTGATAAACTACTAATTCGTGATTTTAAAAATACATAACATGGTTTGATTTGACGCATATTAAATATATTTATCAGTATCTTCACTGATTTACAATTTTCAATTGCAATAAGTAAATAATGCACATGTACTTTATGACAGTATATATAGAATAGATAGAAAAATGTAGAAATGACAATAATATCTCCCATACTAATCTGCAAGACAAATATCCTATCTTATCATGCAGGGATGTCGTTTATTTGTGTATAAAGAAAAAAATTTTCCAGCCAGAGGTTTCACAGAAAACTATAATACTTATAAAAAGTTTCTATAAATTCTTTAAAAATGTCTTCTTTTTTTTTAATTTAAACGTGATTTTTAAATCTACAAATCTGATGAACCTTTGTATATAGTAAAATCCTTCAGTAGAAATAATCAATTCTCATATTGAATAGTTATATTTTGTATAATAGATTACCCCAAATTATCTTTCAACATAACCTATTTGATTAAGCTACATAAATCAGTCCAGCGAAATCAAATAAATGAAAGTTATCACCTTATCGCATTTAAAGTTATAATAATACGTAACAAGCTGATAAACTGTTAACATAAAATATTATTGTAAAGGTTGTCGTCTCACTGCCATTGTAAAACTTGCATATGTTACAAAAACCATGATACCACTAGTTGGTGAAGAACTAACCCAATAACCATACTACTGGTGGAGATCTAACACAATAACCATACTACTGGTGGAAATCTAACATAAAAACCATACCACTAGTGGAGAACTAACACAATAGCCATACCACAGGTGGAGAACTTACACAACAACAATACCACTGGTGGAGATTTAACATAAAAACCGTAACACTGGTGGAGAACTAACACAATGACCATACCACTGATGGAGAATTGACACAATAACCATATTACAGGTGAAGATTTAACACATAACCATACCACTGGTGGAGAACTAACACAATAACCATACCACTGATGGAGAACTAACACAACAACCATACCACTGGTGGAAATCTTACACAACAACCATACAACTGGTGAAGAACTAACACAATAATTATACCACTGGTGGAGAACTAACACAACAACCATATAACTGGTTAAGATGTAACACAACAACCATACCATTTGTGAAGATCTTACATAATAACCATACTACTGGTGGAGAACACAACAACCATACCACTGATGGTGAACTAACACAATAATCATACCACTGGTGGAGATCTAACACAATAACCATACCACTGGTGAAGATGTAACACAACAACCATACCACTGGTGGATAACTAACACAACAACCATACCACTGGTGGTGATCTAACACAACAATCATACCACTGGTGGAGAACTAACACAACAACCATGTATACCACTGGTGGAGAACTAATACAATAACCATACCACTGGTGAAGAACTAACACAACTACCGTACCACCGGTGGAGATCTAACACAATAACCATACCACTGGTGGTGATCAAACACAACAACCATACCACTGGTGGAGATCTAACACAACTACCATACCACTGGTGGTGATTTAACACAACAATCATACCACTGGTGGTGATCTAACACAATTCATACCGTGGTGGAGAACTAACACAATAACCATACCAACGGTGAAGAACTAACACAACAACCATACCACTGGTGGAGAACTAACACAACAACCATACCACTGGTGGAGAACTAACACAAAAACAATACCTTTGGTGGATATCTTACACAATAATCATACCACTAGTGAAGAACTAACACAACCATACCACTGGTGAAGATATAACACAACAATAATATCACTGGTGGAGAACAAACTAACATAACAATCATACCACTGATGGTGATCTAACACAACAACCATACCACTGGTAGAGTTCTAACACAATAACCATACCACTGGTGGACATCTAACAAAATAGCCATACCACTGATGGTGATCTCATATAACAATCATACCACTGGTGGAGAACTAACACAACAACCATACCACTGGTGGAAATCTAACACAACAACCATACCACTGGTGATGATCTCATGCATCAACCATACCACTGATGGAGAACTAACGCAACCATACCACTGGTGTAGGACTTACACAATAACCATGCATAACACTAATGGAGAATTAACACATGTCCATACCACTGTTAGATTAACACAACAACCATACCACTGGTGGAGAACTAACACAACAACCATACCACTGGTGAAGATCTAACACATCATCCATACGACTGTTGGAGCACTAACACAACGACCATACCACTGGGGGAGATATAACACAATAACTATTCCACATGTTGAGAAGTTATACAACAACCATACCACTGGTGAAGATGTAACACAACAACCATACTATTGGTGGAGATCTAACACAATAACCATACCACTGGTGGAAATCTAACACAACAACCATACCACTGGGGGATATATAACACAACCATACCACTGATGAAGAACTAACACAACAATCGTACCACTGGTGGAGAACTAACATAACAACCAAACTTTTGGTGGAGAACTAACACAACCATGTATACCACTGATGGAAAACTAACACAACAACCATGTATACCACTGGTGGAAAACTAACACATTAACCATACCACTATTGAAGATCTAATAAAATAACCATGATACCACTTGTAAAGAACTAATACAACAGACCATACCACTGGTGGATATCTAAGACAACCATAACACTGGAGGTCTAACTGGACTAAAAATTATATCTCTAGAGATCTGAGTTTTGAGTTGCCCAAAATAAGAGATACATTAAACATCTGTTCATCTACAACCTGAGGAATTTTCTTGCTACTTTATTATTGGCCACTGGGGTAATAAAATATTTTCAAATGACTACCCATCTTCTTCTCTGCAAAATCTGAAGATTTGTGTTAAATAAAAATGAACACAGTGACTTTCTTTCTTAGGACTTGTTTATTGTTTCTGAACACAAGAAGGTAAAATGAAAGTACAAACAATGCAAAATATTAATCTAAATTATATGGTGTAAAAACATCGGAAGTGTTGTTTACTCTGTATTAACTGCACTGATTTCAAAAATACTAATTAAATAAATGTTTTCATTCCATGTCAACATTTTTTAAAAACAATTTACAAGTTTGAACAACATTTCACATAATGATACATGTATTTCCATATTTCAGGAAAAAAACTTATAATAAAAAGATCTTTATAAAATGTTTTGATACAAAAGTTCTTTTAAATACAATGCAATGATATTGCATGAAGGCATTGTGAACCATCTGAAAAGTTTGTAAAATCATTAACCACTGGTTTTGAAATTTCCAATTTACACACACCATGCGAATCTCACGTCGTTGCCATAGTTTCTAAGTCATATGTCCATATAACAACTTCTATGATGTCTTTAATGATGTCATCTGTGATGTCATCAGTGAGGACCTAAAAATAGATTTTAGAAAAAGGTAAGCTTTACTATGAGTCTTAATTAGAAGAAAGGAAGAACACACTTACATGTAATACACTTCTACATTGTATTCTACAACTGGCCAAAAAAAAAATTCAGTCTGCAAAAAAATTTATCTCTAGAGCTATCATCCTCACAATGCCAGAGGTCCCAAGTCAACATGTTGCTGTGGGACCCATTGCAAACTTCATTCAATAGTTCAAGGGCTGACTGTAGTGATATTTTTTGGAACCAGAAGTATCTGTCGAGACTGAAGCTCTACTGGTTTGTAATTATAGCAAAGGAAGAGAAAAGTACTTAAAAGCAGTTGGGAATTGAAACTTTTCAACAGCAATAAATAGAATAATGATCCTTGATTAAGTCTCTTTATGTTCTTAGTGTAGTCTACTTGCATGCCACATTATATTATAATCAGACTAAAACTGTATTTGGAGTAACATTTTGAAAGAATTTCACAGAAATTTCTATTTTTAGTAACCACAGGAACACCGTTCATCGAAATCAAAAACCGATACACAGAATTATGTATCTTAGTGTAGTCTACTTGTGTGCCAAGTTATATTGAAATTAGACCAAAACTGTAGGAGGAGTAGCATTTTGAAAGAATTTCACAGAAATTTCTATTTTTAGTAACCATGGCAACATCATTCATCGAAATCAAAAACTGATACACAGAATTATGTATCTTAGTGTAGTCTACTTGTGTGCCAAGTTATATTGAAATCAGACCAAAACTGTAGGAGGAGTAGCATTTTGAAAGAATTTCACAGAAATTTCCATTTTTAGTAACCACGGCAACACCATTCATCGAAATCAAAAACCGATACACAGAATTATGTATCTTAGTGTAGTCTACGTGTGTGCCAAGTTATACTGAAATCAGACCAAAACTGTAGGAGGAGTAGCATTTTAAAAAATTGTTTACAGACAGACAGACGGACAGACAGACAGACAGACAGACAGATGGACGGACGACGGACGCATTACTATCGCATAAGCTCTTCTGGTCTCTGACCAGTAGAGCTAAAAATTACAAATCTTGATTGTTTATCTTATCTGTCAAGCAATCACAATAGGTCATTCTATGTTAAACAACTTGTAATATGTGCATCTGTGGTGTCAACTGAATCCTTTCTTTTTACATTATCTAACTATTTATGAATTTCAAAGCTTTAAATTTATTGAAGCTTTTTAATGAGAGAAACGAGCCATAAAATTTCAAATGAAATTTGCCAGGATTCCGCATCATGTTGACTCAGGACCCCTGGCATGAGTTATGAGCTTCTGATGTAAAAAAAACCTTCATGTACACAGATTATGATATTTTTCTATCTCAGAAGGAGGTCACTACCTTTCAGTCCAGGAAAGCTCAGTCTCAAAGTCTGATACTGCTAACAACACCACCTCCCTTTGAAATATGAATAGATTTGACCAAAAAAAAGCTGATTAGATGAAAACACTGACTAATTCTTTAAAAAATATTGCAGAACAGTGTCAATAAATTGACAAGTGGAATGTCCCAAAATATCAATTTTGTCCATTAAATTCATCAGATGGAATACAAGACATATAGATTTTTTTATCCTGTCCTCTACTTCCTTAAACAAGATAAAGAAAAGGTAAAAATTTATTGTTGATACAGATTCCACATCTCTAGGCTTTTTTGAAATCAATTACAACCAAATACAGTGTTGGAACTGAAAATTAACAAAACCCAAAATTAAAATGGAAGACTCTTGTTAAGTCCAGCACTGATTAAAGTAGATGTACATTTGTATATATGGTCAACAACCAGTAAATATAAATGATCTCTCCTTTATCCCTAAGTCTGACGTCTTTATCACCAATGTTTGTTTATCTAAGTGCTACAGAAAATCAGATAGCCTACTCCTGTCAAAATAATACATACAGATACTGTCTTTCTACAAGTTCAGGGATAAATCATACAATATCACTGATCAATCTTCTGCAATACACCTGAGTATTTGTTTATTTCTTTTGACTGGATTTTTTTCAGGGTTCACTCCTCTCCTATCCTTCTTTCAACTTTACAAAGTGAGACAGAAACAGGAAGCAATGTAATTATATATACACTGCAAAAACTATGATGAAATATTGTAAAAATCCTAAGTTGACTGAATACATAGAGATTTTATATTCATGATTCATTTTTAGAATATGAATACTTATCTCTATAGCTTTATGATACAATGTAGTAACTTTTAAAATCCCTATAAATTTCACTGAAATTGATGTATAAAATAATTGGCTTCAACAAATGTCAGTTAATTACCTTTCTCTCCTTCTACATTAAACCATACTAATGATAATTTCTGTTCCATAATTTGAACTTCAGAGCTCTTTCTTTTCATAAAAGCATCTTTTGAAAAATTCAAGCTTAAAATTTACCCTTATCACTCTTTTTTCAAATTATTTATTTATTTTATTTTACTTTGAATTATAGTCAATATGGCACAGGCAAGGAAAGAAACAAAAAAAATGGTTGTTTAAATCTCTTCATTTCTGCATATACAACTATGACAACAAAAATGTACAGGAAAACATGCTCAGAACGAACATGCCTATCATGAATTAATTATTACTAACAAGTGATTTTCATCCCCCTTGGTTTTAGACAGATTGTGAAGCTAAAGGATATAATGAATTACACTTACAACAACACACAATTAACTATTCTTGGCACTCCATTGTAGGGCCATAAAATAATCATTTTCTTGATTCTCAGGCCCTCCCTCATCTCTTCCAAGGGTGCCTCATTGACCCTTTTTATTGCTAAATCAATAAACAACAAATCACCTCCCTCATCATTTTTTAAGGTTTTGTACAATGTAAAAAGCTGCCTCATCATGTTTTGGGGGCAATAAAGAAGTTAAAAAAATGCCTCCCTTCCTCACTATATTTCTTGAAAAAAAAGGCCTGAGAGCCAAGGAATTAACTTTGCATGGCCTAAATATGTTCTACTGTAGTGCCTTTACCTTCCACCAGGGGACGGCGACATTACTCTGAAGCGGCACCTCAATGCCGTGACATTGCAGCGCCATGTAGATTAACCCCACCGCAATGTGCTGGGGCTTGTGACGCAGACACAAGTTCCCATGATAACTGTCCTTCAAAAATGTCCAGGCAGTACGGGCTATAGGAGTTGTCTCCCATTTGTAGGGTTCAAACCAGTCCTTGAGGAACTTGAGATAATGAAGAAGATACTGAAATACAAATCAAAAGAATTATTATTGTCATCCACTCTCCATAGATCATCCACTCATCAGTTAACATTATTATTATTGTCATCCACTCTCCATAGATCATCCACTCATCAGTTAACATTAACTTTCTATTTGCTTACCTTTTCCTCAGCATTCAAAATTTTATGGTCTACTTGGTATTAGAGTCTTACAGAACCCTAAATATTAAATGTATTTAAGTTATACATGTATATCTTGTAATGGTGAATTTGATACCTTGTGTGGGTGTTGATAAGAAATCTTAAACTGCAGCATTCTCAGCACAAACAGCTCACAGTTGGCCACGGTGTCTCTCAGAGACCAGAAGGCCTCCCCCATCTCCAGCGGGGGTTTACTGCGATGTAAAGCCCTAAAACACAACATAAATACATGTAGGAAGAAAAATACAGTAGAATCTTATTAGGAATTTGACAGTATGTCATTTGTTTTGTAGTTTTCATAACCATCATGCTACTATATATTGCATAGTTTAAATAAAATTATATTTCCTCAGTCTTACTGGCACAAGTAATAATATTTCCTTAGTATCTATTAAAAAAGTGTGACCCTCATATTACAAATCCTGGCATTTCCAGTTGAAATAATTAGAGTTGTCGTTCTTTCAATTAGACATCAATGGAAGAAGTTGGACTTGGGTGGAATTTGTCAACGATTGATAATTTTACAGACAATTTTCAGAAATATCACTTTTACTTTTTTATTAAAGTTTTCTAAGAGTTGTTTTTACAAATATATTTATTTCACTGTATACATGGTATATCAACCTAAAATTAATCATGCACTTTCCAATGCATGGGTAATCACTTCCATTTTCATACAAAACCCAAGTGGCTGCTGTTTTTAGTGAAAATAGAAAAACAAGAGGCCCATGGGCCACATCGCTCACCTGAGCACTGTGGCTAGGTAAAAGTATAAATTGGTTTATTATTGAAAAGGTAAAATCCAAAAGTAGTCCCATGAACAATAATGGATGTTCTATCTTTGAGAAGAAAATTTTTAAAGAATTTTCCTATATATTTCTATGTAAAACTTTGGTCGGCCATTTTGGCCCCGCCCTACCCCCGGGGGTCATGATTTGAACAAACTTGAATCTACACTACCTGAGGATGCTTCCATATAAATATGATGAATTATGGCTTGGTCATTCTTGAGAAGAAGATTTTTAAAGAATTTTCCTATATATTTCTATGTAAAACTTTGGTCGGCCATTTTGGGCCCACCCTACCCCCGGGGGTCATGATTTGAACAAATTTGAATCTACACTACCTGAAGATGCTTCCATATAAATATGATGAATTACGGCTTGGTCATTCTTGAGAAGAAGATTTTTAAAGAATTTTCCTATATATTTCTATGTAAAACTTTGGTCAGCAATTTTGGCCCCGCCCTACCCCCAGGGGTCATGATTTGAACAAACTTGAATCTACACTACCTGAGGATGCTTCCATATATATATGATGAATCATGGCTTGGTCATTCTTGAGAAGAAGATTTTTAAAGAATTTTCCTACATATTTCTATGTAAAACTTTGGTCGGCCATTTTGGCCCCGCCCTACCCCCGGGAGTCATGATTTGAACAAACTTGAATCTACACTACCTGAGGATGCTTCCATATATATATGATGAATCATGGCTTGGTCATTCTTGAGAAGAAGATTTTTAAAGAATTTTCCTATATATTTCTATGTAAAACTTTGGTCGGCCATTTTGGCCCCACCCTACCCCCGGGGGTCATGATTTGAAGAAACTTGAATCTACACTACCTGAGGATGCTTCCATATAAATATGATGAATTATGGCTTGGTCATTCTTGAGAAGAAGATTTTTAAAGAATTTTCCTATATATTTCTATGTAAAACTTTGGTCGGCCATTTTGGCCCAACCCTACCCCCGGGGGTCATGATTTGAACAAACTTGAATCTACACTACCTGAAGATGCTTCCATATAAATATGATGAATTATGGCATGGTCATTCTTGAGAAGAAGATTTTTAAAGAATTTTCCTATATATTTCTATGTAAAACTTTGGTCAGCCATTTTGGCCCCGCCCTACCCCTAGGGGTCATGATTTGAACAAACTTGAATCTACACTACCTGAGGATGCTTCCATATAAATATGATGAATTATGGCTTGGTCATTCTTGAGAAGAAGATTTTTAAAGAATTTTCCTATATATTTCTATGTAAAACTTTGATCAGCCATTTTGGCCCCGCCCTACCCCCGGGGGTCATGATTTGAACAAACTTGAATCTACACTACCTGAGGATGATTCCCCATAAGTTTCATCTTTCCTGGCCCAGTGGTTCTTGAGAAGAAGATTTTTAAAACATGCCACCAAATTTTCATTAATTCCCAATTATCTCCCCTTGAATGAGGGCGTGGCCCTTCATTTGAATAAACTTGAATCCCCTTCACCCAAGGATGCTTTGTGGCAAGTTTGGTTGAAATTGGCCCAGCGGTTCTTGAGAAGAAGTCGAAAATGTGAAAAGTTTACAGACAGACAGACGGACAGACAGACGGACGCCGGACAAAATGTGATCAGAAAAGCTCACTTGAGCTTTCAGCTCAGGTGAGCTAAAAAACTAAATTTTCAGTGAAAAAGGCAAGTTATAGATATATCAGATGACTAGAAGTAGACTTGATGTATTTGTACAAAAGTGCATGTTCAGAAAACTTTTATGTAAATACAATTGTCATTTTTTGATAAATAAATCCCGATCTAATGACAGTCATAACTTTTTTCCTATCAAAATATGATAAGTAATTGGGCTTATATACCTATTAGAATTTTAAAATGTTAATAATATTATCAGTCATTATGTTCAATCTTATCATTCAGTCACAGTTTAATTAATTGTTACCTGTAACAGACATTGACAATGTCCCTTAGTTTAATATGCTGTTCCTCCGCCTTCCCAGCTACATATAAGGCTGTGGTTGCAATCAGCTGCAAAAGTTATATCAACATAAACAAAATACCAACAAAAGGGCTTCTCTTGTAATCTTCACCTAACAGGTTGTCAGCAAATATTTTGTAAAATACAAAAGTTTCTTTCAATGACGCGGTCATTTGTTATATTAAACACGTATAAGGGAATTAGGAAAAGAGGCCTTATCAGTCAGGTCTGCATAACTTGTCCAATTACATAACAAGTAAGCTTATCTTGCTTTAAAATGTTATACTAATTACTGTGGATATTACAACATCTGTCTAATTTAAGCGACTTACATATGGATCATATTGTTGAAGGGAGTTCTCTCGGAAGAACTTGTGGTAGATAACAGAGGCTGTAGCCAGTGGAACTGACGTCATCTGGAGTCGCAACCCTAAAATATGTAAAATCAATAAATGTACGAGGAAATTTATTCGACATATAAATACTGGTAACAGAATCAAATTTATTATTTTTTTTTCATGAATTTTGGTTGCCTGCATGAAACGTCATTTGAATACGGTAAATGTGGAAATTTTGACGATGTGCTAATCTTGACTATATTGACGATTTGTCTTTTTTCGTCAAAATTTACACTCGTCAAACTTCACATATAAATAGTGTCACAACAGACATTGACCATTGTACAACATTACTGCTTAATTTTAATAGGCTTTCCCCTATTAAAACTAGAGGTACTGTGAGCAATGAGCTCACTAAATGATACCCCCCGCCTCCCATATGAATTAAATGGCAGTGTCCATGTTTTGCTCTGGAAAATCCAAAATATATGTCAGATCAAAAAGTAAAATAGGAGGTGCACAATGGCAATATGTAATAAAGATTCTGTGAAAGTTTCATCAAATTTCATTCAGTGGTATGAGAGGAGTTGCAGATAAGAGATGGGTATCCCAAAGCGTAACAGACGGACGGACGGACGGACGGACGGACGGAGAGAATTAACGATTACTATATACCCTCCCGCTTTTCAAGCGGGGGGTATAACTAGATCAAAGTTACTGTTAATTTCCCTTGTAATTAGATATAAAAACATAGTGATATATAATCACATTTTTTATAAAACATTGAATCTAAACTAGTGTGTCAAATACTGTATGCGTAACTTAGCCTAATTATCACGCCGTGTTTGACCTATTTTGTCACCTCAGGCAATTGACCGCTTATAATGAAAACAAATACAAGAGGGCAATTTATTTAATCAAATCTTACACACTCAAATAGTTTGTACAATCTTGCACACTGTAGATGGTCTATACAAAAATTAAATTTTAGTGATTCCGACGCTGCCTTTGTATAACCGTAAATTAAAAGATGCATAACTCTTGATTAAATATTTCGTCAAAATTAACATTCGTCAATTTTCGTAAACAAAAACTCGTCAATTTTTCAACTCGTCAATATAACCACGTTTACAGTAGATTATTTATTAATTATAGTTTAAATTATATAACATGTTACCTTTGTTAGATAGCTACAGAACTATTATAATAACTTTATGGTTTAATATATATTATTCCTTGACCATAATGCTACTGATCCCATAATGCAAACAATGAGCAATTTACAGTGCAAGGTTTTCTGCACACTAATGGGGAAAATTTCACCACTTTCTAGCATTGGTCAGTCAACTACCTTTCGCTCCCTAATTCTGAACAACTTCTTTCATCAATTTGTATATTTTATCCACTTATCAAGCCTTCATAGTCATGTCTACAAACTGATAAACTCACTTGTTTTCATTTTTTGTAGGATGGCAAAAATTAAAATAAGTAAGTCTGACACGTCTATAAACATGATAAATAGAGGATATCTATATTGTGTGATTTGATATTGGCTTTATCCAACGAGTTGAAATGGTGTATATATCCGTGAGGCTTGCTGAGTGAATATACACCATTTCAACGAGTTGGATAAAGCCAATTTCAAATCACACAATTATAGATGTTCTATTTATCTCATACGACTTTTGTTTTAACAAAACTTTGAGACTTTCCTTGCGAAACTACATGAATGATTGCTAATTCAAATTGATGATGTATAACTTGATGACGTAGCACCGTTGATGTTGACATGCCTCCAAAAAGTAGATCATGTTCAAAATTTAGAATTTTTGCTATCTGCATCTTTGAAAACATTATGTGACAATTGCTGGAGCTTTACATCAAACGAACATCTGACTGAAAGTTGTAAGGACCATGGGATTGTGAAAATGAACTCTTTGGACAATGGCAGTACAAAACGTGTTAGAACTGGCAAGGCTAGGGGCCTACTTGTAGATTCATTCTTGATCCATGGTAAGTTACACCTACATTACTGGGTAGGCATACGTAGTATAATATAAGAAAGCATTATTGAAGAGGCTTAAAATAAAATATTGTTTGTTTGCAGTTGCCTACCGACCCACCGAAAATACACCCGACCCAAACTTTTTTTTAGCCATTTTGTAATATTATTAGGTCTTTCCGCCTTTCTGTGGAAAGACCTATTGATTTCCTTCTGTTTCTTCTTTTCCTTTTTTATTATTTTTCCGCCGTGTGATTTTTTGTTTCAAGATTTATCGAAAAGATTTATAGTCTATAAGAATGTACTCTGTAAAAGATGTTTGCAGTTGACCCTGCGTAAATGAACCTTGACCGCTTTCGAAGTTATTGCCCCTTTCACAAGAAATGCTTGTTATCGCTACTCCTCAGAAACCGTAAACCGCAGAGGTATGAAACCTTTACGAATGTCTTCAACTAATTATGGGGACTCTTCAATCTATACATTGCGAAAGTATTCGGTGACCCCTTCAATGAGTTATTGCCCCTGAAACTTTTTGAATTTTACAAATAATTAAAAAATTTCAAAACAAGAAGTCATAGAGACATGGGACCAACTGCATAAGATTCATTGACCTTTGACCTTAAAATTCATGTAAAGGTCAAAGGTCAAGGTCATTCCAAAAATGAGAAAATTATTTTTTTTTGTATCTCTTTTGTCTTTCAACATATACTTAATGTCAATGCATCATTAATATGTACTCTTAAAACTGTTTCAAAGATTTCATTCTTGTCCCCTAAGATAAAACCTTTTAAAAGTTATTGCCCCTTGTGCAAAAAACCTTGTTATCGCTACTCCTCCCAAATTGTAGACTCAAGCTACACCAAACCTTCACTAATATCTTAAGGGTCTTTAGACCTAACTTCACTGTATAAGTGCAAAAGAATCTGATGACCCCTTATATGAGTTATTGCCCTTTAATTTCTTTATACTTACTATTAAACCTTGTATCTTGAAAACTATAAATGGTAGAAGCATGGGGTCAATTGCATTGTGACCCTTGACCTTTGACCTTGAATATTTTGTCAAGGTCTAAGGTCAAGGTCATTCCAAAAATTAAAAATTAAGCTCTTTTTATATCTCTTTTGTCTTTTAACATATGCAAACAGTCTCTGCATCATTAATATGTACTCTTAAAACTATTTCAAAGATTTCATTTTTGTTCCCCAAGATTGACCCTATCAAAAGTTATTGCCCCTTATGCGAAAAACATTGTTATCGCTACAACTTCAAAACTGTAGACCGTAGAGGCATGAACTCTTCACTAATGTCTTAAGGGTCTTTAGGCACACCTTCACTGTATAAGTACTAAAGGATTTAATGACCCTTTATATGAGTTATTGCCCTTTAACTTCTTTGCACTTAATATTTAAATTTATAACTATAGAACTAAAAGTTGTAGAGGCATGGGGTCAATTGCAATATGACCCTTGACGTTTGAACTTGAAGATCTGATCAAGGTCAAAGGTCAAGGTCATTAAAAAAAATTATTTTTTTTTTTTTAAATTTTCATTTTCTTTTTTTAAGCCATTTCCCTTAAAATTAAATTGGAGAGTTAAATATAAAACTATAAGAAATTTAAAAAGGTGGAAAGACCTCTTATTGTTCTGTGAACAATAAGTCTCCTAGTTTTTTTTCCTATTTTTCAGGATATTGAAACTGTTTCACTTTTTGTCTTTATCAATCAGTAGTTTATACCAAGTGCACGTGAAGAGTAGAGCTTTATTCATTTATAGTAGGCATATGAAAAAATTTATTCTATGTTAATTATCTAACAAAAATCTGAAAACTTTTTTTTTCCAAAAAAAAAAAAAAGAATGCCTACCTACCTACCCTGTCTAAAAATTATAGGTCGGCAACTGCAAACAAAAATTTTTTTAAGCTTGGCCATATGTTAAAGGAATCTTGTAACAACAACTTAACTCTTCTAGGCTTTACATACTCAGAAAACGAATTAAAGGGGGGGGGGGGGGGGGGGGGGGGTAACATCTTTCTTCAAGTAGCCAATACAGGTTCCTTGATAAAATAAGACACTTTTTTGACATATACGAGTCTTTTCCTTGCTTTTAACGATGTTATCGCTCTTTATAATTCATTTTATAGGGCAATAATTTTCACAAATAAAATTTTCAATAAAGTAAACCTTGAAGCGGGGGATCATTACAAAACAGGAAGTATTATTGATAAAGCATCTACCCGTTGATAAAGCATAAGTTTATCTCAACATGTATGATAAAGTGTTATACAGGTTGGGCACAGCCTACCAAATGGTACTTTATCCCCCGTTTGGTAGATAATCTACCATATCGGTGACGAATTTTACTAACCAAATGGGGGACTTTTTTATTCTATTGCAATTTTTATTGAAATAAAACAAAAGCATATTTATTCAGGCAATGGGGGATTTTAGTGAACATATTCCTCGTACAATTAACATAAATCGGTCGAATTTCTATGTGTAATTTCTCCGTAATTTCGTAAAAACAATACCCGTAGTTGTCTGTAACAGCCGAACTTCTTGATCAAACGATAAAAAAAAAATCTTTATTGTGTCTTGTTGGATAAAAATCCAATTTTATACAGTGATTAAACTCATGATGAGTTAACTTTCAATCTCTTTTTGGATCTTCGTCAATGTTTATCTCCGTAAAATCCTGTTAAACACGATCTCCTCATGCCTTACCGGTATGGTGGGCACTTCCTGCTATAAAGTTAATTTTTTCCAGAGTTGTACGTAATATTTGTTGTTATTTTTCTTTTAGGATGAAGTTGCAGATTCCATGCGACCTTTTGGGGTTTAATGTTCATATTACTGGTGAATTTAATAAATTCGAAAAATAATATTCAATAAAAGATGTACAAAATGACTTTTGCCATTATTCTTGTTTTTGTTCAAAGTACTTCGTTTTAAAACAATAATTATGTCATACTCCAACTGCATTTACTATTTCTATGAAGAACAAAGCCATTGTGTTCAAAATAAAAAGAAATAAAGGCAAAACTTACTTTTCTTCTGATTTCCTAGTTGAAAATTAACACAAATGTGCCTCCGTAGTTAAATCCGACTTTTCATCAGGTTTAAAAAAGATCATCGTTTTGATTGGTTTGCACTAATTGATTGGTTGCCCGGATAATCGAAATAGAATGTAAAGGACATGATTGACAGGTGCAGCATCGTTGGAGAAGGAGAGAATTTTCTTTTTAAAGTAAAAATCGGAGAAACATTGCACTTGTTTACATAATCTAGGTTTTTTGTCAAATTTTTGAACGACTCTGCGCAAAAAATTGCACATAGAATTTTTGATTTTTTTCACCCAGAACACCGAGAAATATCTATATTTTATTCCACATGGTTTAAAATTATGCAAAATTCCACTCCACTCTATGGAATTAAACACAACCAATTTTGTCCCCCATTTGGTTAGTAAAATTCGTTACCGATATGGTAGATTATCGGGTGTTGCTAAAACGCGGAACGGAAAACGGAACGGAAAGCGGAACGGAACGGAAAACTGAATATATTTTGGATTAAATCACGGGTGTTGCTAAAACGCGGAACGGAAAACGGAACGGAAAGCGGAACGGAGCGGAAAACGGAAAATTTTTGTCAAACAAATAACGTAGATTCGATATTTAAAACAGATAAAAGAGCAATATTCCTGTCATAAAAGTCATTTCTAATAAAAAGTTATTGTAAACTATTATATAATCATGAGTCATACACACCCTCCTTGGAAAAAATGGTACGGAAAGAAATTCGCCACCCCCCCCCCTCCACGAAATAGGATTTCCGTGTTTGGGCAAAGGACATATCCCCTTTTTTTTGCTTGTCAAAATTGTTGTATGTAGGAAATTTTTTACTGACCCCCCCCCCTCTTTCAACTGGTTTCCAATGTCAATGTCTGTAAAGATAAAAATTACTACTTAGGCCAGCATTTTTTTATTTTTAGGTTTACAAACCCGCCGCTCAGGTTTTTGAATTTTCAGAAAAAAAATAAAATTGAGAAAAACAGATTTTTTTCTTTCCGATGTCAAATTTGAGTCGGGATCGAGATTTCAAATTTACGAACTCGTACTTCCGGTTTTTAAACAACATGGCGGGTAATGAAGGGAGATTTGTGTCAAATCCATAGCAGCACTAAAGCTTGGTTTAATGTAAATATTTATCGATAGGAGTGCCATTTAAAACATTTAACCCGTTCAGAGAACAATAAAATGCTGACGACTTTGTTGCAAAGTGACATGTTGGTGAGATAATTATGTATCCGTATTCAAAAGTAACTGTCTTTAATTGTAAATTATTTTCCTCCCACAGGTTTAAAACTGCCCATGGTAGCTATTGTCAGAGACATTGTTTAGGTTTCTGTCATAACTTACAGTCTTAGCATCATTCTTCAGAAAAGGGTCGCTTATGCATCAGATGTAATGAATAAAACTATGGGAGAAGTTAAGTCCATTTGAGGAAGAAATAAACAATAGCCTAAAGGAATAAAATATTTCAACTATTTAAAAACAAGAATATACAAATATATACAGGCATGTAGTATCGTTTATGGCAGCCAGAAAAATTATTTTACACTTAATTGAAAAAAATTCCACCCTACTCCTCAATACTCATTGGGAATACTCCCTGTCTGTTTTATGAAAGGAATTATTACTTTTATAGCTCTCGAGTATATTAATATTTTAGAATGAATTTCTACCTAACACACATTGAAAACAAAAATGAAGATATATAAAAAGAGATTTAAAAAATTGATTTTTTTTTTTTAAATCTGTATTTTGTCCAATATCAAAAGATTTATATCACTGCCCCCAACTGGTAGATGATGAAATAAACAATTAAAGGTTGTATTTTCCCCTTTGTAACCCTTATGTGTCCAGTGGCAAGAAGCCTGTTAGGAGAGCATTTTTTTGTAGAAAAGTCGATAATGTATCCAAAATATAATTTTATTTTTTTTTTTATTTCCTCCTCCTACGGGACTTTTTCATTCTGATGTTCGTAAACCTAAAAATAAAAAAATGCTGGCCTTATGATATTCAGATTGTGCATGTAGTATTGAATTCGCGAATCATGAAAGGGGGAGTGGCAGTTTCAAGTAGGGGCCCACAGCCACATTAATAATTGATTTATTAAACCTTTTGTATATTTTGAACACAAAAAGCGGCAGACCTATTACAGCTTCTCAGACCTTTCCAATGAGTGCATGGGAAAACAAACTCATTTTTACGGGGTCATTCATATACACCCCCCCCCCCCCCCCCCGATACAAGATACAAGATATATCGTTTATGATAAAATTTGTGTATTTTAAGTGATTTAATCCAAAATAATATATTCCGTTTTCCGTTCCGTTCCGCTTTCCGTTCCGCGTTTTAGCAACACCCTTAAATCACTTAAAATACACAAATTTTATCATAAACGATATATCTTTTACATATTCAACCCCCACTATTAAATACAAGTTGATTTTGTCATGCTCAGTCTCTTATTTACGAAAATCGCTAACATAGCATTCACCTAGAATCGAATTTGAAAAAAAGGGGGGGGGGGGGGTAAACGAACTTGAAAAGTATTTGACAAGCAAAAACACAAAAAGAAGACAATTGTTAAATTCGGGAGGGGGAAAAACACAGAAAGAAAACAACTGTTTGATTCGGGGGGGGGGGGGGGGGGGGGGGGGGGGGGGGGATAAGTTCTAACTCCAACATCTTTCAGTACTATATTTTTTTACACTCTTAACATACTACATTAATTACATTCACAAAAATTGTGAGGATGTCAACTTGAACAAACATTTCCGTAGTGAAAAGGTTATGACTTGGGGGGGGGGCAAATATTTGATATCTTGATGAACCATGGCAAGAGAAATAAAATGTAAAAAAAAACATTAAGATTACGTTTAGGGCAAACCTTTACGTTAAGCTCGAATAAACATCTCTTATACACACTGGTTGTTAAAATTTTATTCAAAATAAAGTAGCTTTCTATATATTTAAATTCTGGATAGACAAAGTTGGAAAACTTTCATGTGGTAAATAAAATGCAGAATCTTTGCATTCAGTGAAGTTAAATTATGTTTGTTTGCAGTACATATGCGTGTATGTTTAGGGGCGGGGGGGGGGGGGGGGGGGTATATGAATGACCCCGTAAAAATGAGTTTGTTTTCCCATGCACTCATTGGAAAGGTCTGAGAACTGAGAAGCTGTAATAGGTCTGCCGCTTTTTGTGTTCAAAATATACAAAAAGTTTAATAAATCAATTATTAATGTGGCTGTGGGCCCCTACTTGGAACTGCCACTCCCCTTTCATGATTCGCGAATTCAATACTGCATGCACAATCTGAATATTATAAGTAGTAATTTTTGTCTTTACAGACATTGGCATTGGAAACCAGTTGAAAGAGGGGGGGGGGGGGATCAGTAAAAAATTTCCTACATACAACAATTTTGACAAGCAAAAAAAAGGGGATATGTCCTTTGCCCAAACACGGAAATCCTATTTCGTGGGGGGGGGGGGGGGGGTGGCGAATTTCTTTCCGTACCATTTTTTCCAAGGAGGGTGTGTATGACTCATGATTATATTATAGTTTACAATAACTTTTTATTAGAAATGACTTTTACGACAGGAATATTGCTCTTTTGTCTGTTTTATATCGAATCTACGTTATTTGTTTGACAAAAATTTTCCGTTTTCCGCTCCGTTCCGCTTTCCGTTCCGTTTTCCGTTCCGCGTTTTAGCAACACCCGTAGATTATCTACCAAACGGGAGATAAAGTACCATTTGGTAGGCTGTGCCTAGATAGAATGTTCTATCGTTAAAATGATATTGTCCTACGGACCCGGTTTAACGATAGAATTCGTTCCGTGTATTCGTAATGTAGCAGAAAGAAACACGGGCGATAACTCGCATAGTGCATTTACTAGGAACAATCTTGAGAGTTCCGAATGTAAACATGGAGGTAATTTGAATCGAGAGAATAACGTTGAGAAAATGAATGGGATTTTCGTATTTATATGGATTGTTTTTTTGGGATAAAAGGCATAAGCAATCTCAAAAAGGTTTGTTATGATTAATTTGCAAGTTATTTTCAGTGCAAATCCGTTTGTATCCTTCAAAATCGTTTCGGTGCGATTCTGCAATTTTTTGCTACATTACGAGTATATAGGCGGTATTCTAACTGTGGTGAGGGCTTGTACCGAGACACAGTTAGATTATTCTAACTAGGCTGTGCCCAACCTGTTATATGTAGGAGGTTGATAAAATACATAAATTGGTTTAAAAAGTGTTTAAAAAGATGCGCTTCGCGCATTAATGATGTTTTTCTTCCAACTTCTTTCTTTGATACGTCAGTCAACATGGTCAAAGGAAAAATATCACATTTTCATTTCTTAATCTGTTATTAATGATTGTGCAGGTCAGATAATGACATTCTTACCAGCTTCATGAATAAATCGGATGACTCGAAAATGAACCTTGGCCTCTGTGTCAGTCATTCTCTTTTTTAAACGTTGTAAAAAGTCTTTTTGTAGTGCTACATGTTTTTTCCCCAATTTTATGAGAATGGGCGCACTGAGCGTGCAATAAAATCAATAAGGAAACATTGGACTCGTCTGTAATATTAGAACCCGACATGCATAAGATGGCAAAATCCGGATTTTTTTTTTTGGACGGGCCACAACAAAAAATAAATAAATAATGATATTTATAGATCTATCAATATTTTTGTGTTTATAAAATAAAGAGTGATGGGGCCATAAGCAATTATTGTAAAAAAAATCATTGCAATTCATTTCTCGGATATAAAAGTTTTACAGACAGACTGAGAGAATTAATGTATGAAGTTACCACCATGACCTTGCAAGTTTGGTCAACATAGGGCTTACAGTTACTTGGAATTGAACTTTATTGAGGCAAGCTAAAAATTATGCATTAAATTGAATGTTCTCAGTATTTTATTAATTTGACATTTAAAATTTGGCCATACTGTTCTTCATCAGCAGATTTTTTAAGATGTATTGAGAATTAACCCTACCCAAACAGAGATGCTCAGATATGCTTTGATCCATACAGACATGTATATGACTAATCAAGGCTTTGCTGCTCTGAAGAAGACTTTGTATAATTCCAATGAAAATATGTTTCATTGCTTGGCCCCACCCTACCCAAGGGTAAGGAGGGTTGGGTATGCGGGGCAGGGGGATATGAATCTACACCCTTGGGGATGCTACCTGCATCTAAATAGACATATCATGACCTTGTTGTTCTGGAGATGAAGAATTTTAAAGAATTTTGCTGTGTACATTTATTCCTTTTTAAAACTTTGATCTCCTTTAGACATCATCACCCATCAAGCTGTTATCACGTCATATGGATCGACACAGTTTAACTCAAGGTAATGCTGTAATGTACAGGCTCCATTGATACTTTTTCTCATCCTATTAACATAGTATCTGACAAACATGCTTTGAACCATTCTTTTCTTAAAGATGTAGTCTCATAACTGCACAGTGTGTGTACAAAAATTGAATAAGTGTGAAAATTTTACAAGAATTACAAATAATTTTTTTTATTTCAGAGCATATTTATTCATGCATGTATACATATAAATGTACTCACAAACATAATTTCTAAATGCATATTCAAATACAGTAGCTTACAGGCAATTATATTTTATAAGCTTTCAAGAAAATAAAAATGACAAAAAAAGTATATTCTTGAACAGAATCAACAGTCAAGTCAGTGACAGTCAGTGTGAGGTTCAGAATTTCATATTCCTAGTGACACACTACATGAAAATCTGAAATTGGATTCATCCTCATTCTGTATCACATCTTCCCTAGTATTAAATGGAAAATAAAAAATAATGATCCCAAGTCAGCACTGTCCAAATTTAAAATAATGACACCTCCCTATCTCACCGCTGTCATGAAGATGGCCCTGCTTCAGCTTGAGCTTTTAGACAATACTGCAAATAATTAAAGTTTAAAAATCAATCATAATAAATGTATCTAAACTAAATTAATTTCCAGTCAATAAACAGTTATAAGGCGAGAATGGCACTCACCTTTTCTCGAAATTCTGAGAGATTCCTCCTCATTGCGTAAGCGTCTTCCCCATCTGCATAATACTTTGGTTCTATTTCACTTACTCTGAAACATTATGATAAAATATGTGCACAACTTCATACTTTTGACTTCAAGAGAAGAAGGCAACAATTAAAAAAAGAATTAGGTCTTTGAATCTGTCTATTTTAAATGTTTTATGCAAGTTTTCATTCAGTTTAAGGTATATGGGTCTTTGTTATCATATCTATTACATGTATTAAAACACTGAAATACAGATATCTTACTAAACAATGCAAACCCACTTAAGATGTGGTATGAAACATACATGTATATACACAGGAATTATAACCATATTAAGAAAAATGAATTTAATAAAACTACATGTGCATTTCATTGGTTCATCTTGGAGACCTTTTTCTAGATATCTGGACATATGATATTAAAGATACAAAACTGGCACAATTAATTAATGTGTACTTTGACTGAGACTTACGAGAACTTGAGTGTGTTTTTGTAGAGGTGTAGAGCTGCACGATTACTTTTTCTGACATGAAGCGACACATATTGAGCATCAAAGCACTCAATCATCCCCCGAGACGCCTGGTCCATCAACTTCTGGGCTAGACCAAGTCGTCGATGTGACCGCTTCACTGCCTGGATAAAATAAAGAAACTTCATTATCCTTTTTCTTCTTATCTTTTTAGTGTATCTTTATATATTACCTTAATAATTAGTTTGTGCAGAATGAGCTGTTAATATAGATCTTACAAATTTGGATTTTCTGTGGTGTATGTATATTGAAACTTTTTTTTTAATATCAGAACACAATAAATTAGTGAACATAATATGCAATCAACAAAACGTTCACAGACCACAAGGCTGACCTGATGACCTTGCTGTTTTTCGAGAAGATTTTAAAGACTGTCTTATTTTTATGATATTCGTATGATTTTTCAGTTGATAATACATATTGTGTTCACACCCTACCATCTGGGACCATGATCTAAATACAACTGTATCTGCATTTCTAATGAGGCTTGCTTTTTTAAATTGGAAAATCATGATGGTAATTTTTAGAAATTTTTAAAGAAAAATTCTTTTTGCATTTTTTCCTATATGAAATTTTCACAATCTGCTTTTTGGAAACTTGATTCAAATATAGTTTTTGTCCTGTTCATCTGTCTGTCTAGCACCATTTGTCTGCAAAAAATTTAACATTGTCCATAACTTTTAAGCGGGTGGGGCTATGGGTTTAATACATGTATTTCACAGGTGTATTCCTTGTGACAAGACCTTTCTTTGGGAATCAACAAATTTTATCTCTTGACCTTAAAGTTTGACTTACTTTTATAAAATAAAAACAACACTTTAACTTTGGTCATAAATTTTGAACAGTTGGAGCTAGGGCTTTCATACTTCACACAGTCATGTATTCATTGTGACAAGACCTTCCTTTGAGTACCAACATGTTTGACCTTGACATTTGGAGTTTGAAATGCATTTGACACGATTCAATCCTCGGCATAAGCTGTAATACGGGGACATCAGTGTTTCACAAACACATCTTCTTTTTCATTTGTTTTGTATTGTAAAAATTTAGATCCCCTTTTGTTGTCAAAAAATGAAAATCTTTCCTTATGGGGCTATGTCTTACACAAATTTGAATCTACATATTACACATGTCAAGTTTCATGTTTTTTGTCCCAGTGGTCTTGAGAGTAAAACCTGTAATTGATCCCATCAATTTTCACTTATTCATTGTGACAAAGGGGGTGTTCCTTCATTTGTACAAACTTGATTCAACCAAGAAGGCTTTTTGGCAAGTTTGAATATGAACCAGTAGTTCTAGAAGGAAGTCAAAAATGTGAAAATTATTCAGACAACTTAAAACAAAAATTGACAGACAGATTCTGGTCACTCCTTAGTCAGTAAAGCTCACTTGAGCCTTTAGTTCAGGTGAGCTAAAATTTAGTATTCTCTTCCTACAAAGATTTGATGAATATACAATTAACAAAATCCTAACCAATGATGTGATGTGACCATGTGGAACAGAATCTTCTGGATCCTCCTCCCTACAACAACAAAATAACAGTAAAAATACGAAAATAACAGTTACACATCAAAACAAGAGGCCCATGGGCCACATCGCTCACCTGAGAAGCTTTGACCATTCTGTTCTTTACCAGATTTCCCCCTTCCTATACATAATGCATCCCCACCCTACCCCACTGATCATAATTTAGACATTTTGAAATCTACACTACCCCATGATCCTTCCATGGGCACATATGTTTCAGCTTTTTTGGCCCAGTGGTTCTTGAGAAGAACATTTTCAAAGATTTTTCCTATATATTTTTATGTAAAACTTTGATTCCCTATAATGGCCCACCCTTCCCCCGGGGGTCATGATTCCTACAATTTAGAATTTACACTAGCCCAGAATGCTTCCACATAAGCTTCACTTTTTCTGGCCCAGTGGTTCTTGAGAAGAAGATTTTTCCTATATATTTCTATATAAAACTTTGATTCCCCATTGTGGCCCCGCCCTTCCCCCGGGGGTCATGATTTGAACAATTTAGAATCTACACTATACCAGGATGCTTCCACATAAGTTTCAGCTTTTCTGGCCCAGTGGTTCTTGAGAAGAAGATTTTCAAAGATTTTTCCTATATATTTCTATATAAAACTTTGATTCCCCATTGTGGCCCCGCCCTTCCCCCGGGAGTCATTATTTGAACAATTTAGAATCTACATTATACCAGGATGCTTCCACATAAGTTTCAGCTTTTCTGGCCCAGTGGTTCTTGAGAAGAAGATTTTCAAAGATTTTTCCTATATATTTCTATGTAAAACTTTGATTCCCCATTGTGGCCCCGCCCTTCCCCCGGGGGTCATGATGTGAACAATTTAGAATCTACACTATACCAGGATACTTCCACACAAGTTTCAGCTTTTCTGGCCCAGTGGTTCTTGAGAAGAAGATTTTCAAAGATTTTTCCTATATATTTCTATGTAAAACTTTGATTCCCCATTGTGGCCCCGCCCTTCCCCCGGGGGTCATGATGTGAACAATTTAGAATCTACACTATACCAGGATGCTTCCACATAAGTTTCAGCTTTTCTGGCCCAGTGGTTCTTGAGAAGAAGATTTTCAAAGATTTTTCCTATATATTTCTATGTAAAACTTTGATTCCCCATTGTGGCCCCGCCCTTCCCCCGGGGGTCATTATTTGAACAATTTAAAATCTACACTACCCCAGGATGCTTCCACATAAGTTTCAGCTTTACTGGCCCAGTGGTTCTTGAGAAGAAGATTTTTTAATGACCCAACCCTATTTTTGTCTTTTCTTGATTATCTCCCCTTGCGAGGGGATATGTCCCTTCATTTTAACAATTTAAATTCCCCTTCACCCAAGGATGCTTTGTACCAAGTTTGGTCAAAATTGGCCCAGTGGTTCTTGAGAAGAAGTCAAAAATGTGAAAAGTTTACAGACGGACAGACAGACGGACGGACGACGGACAAAATGTGATCAGAAAAGCTCACTTGAGCCTTCGGCTCAGGTGAGCTAATAACAATCAAAATACCAATGGCAGCAACAATATTTCCATGATGCCATTAATTTTTTATTAATTCGTAATTATCTTGAATCCTCTACTCGCTGCGAAGTTTAACTGAAATTGCCCAGTGACAGTGGGGAAAAACAACAAAAATAACAGCAAAAATACTAGTAAAACAACAAAAATACCATTTAGGCAATCAAATAACAGTAAAACAGGCCAGTACACAAACATAAGTAACAGCATAAGAATAAAATTTACACTCTACAAAAATGGTAATTATTAAATGCATAATAATCAGATAATAGCAAACAAAGTAGCATTTAACAATAACACCTATCCACAATTATAGTAACAAACTCAGTAACAATAACACTGGAGTAACAGCAAAAAAAACAAGAGGCCCCTTGGTTACAATGCTCACTTACATTTTAGCTAAAACATATCCTACTATTTTCCCATCTTCATCCTCTGCAACATAAGACAGCTGAAATCAGAGACAAAACAAAATTGTTTTACGTAATGTTATCAATCCTTTTGTCAATGAATAATTTTTTTTCTCTCATTCAAGACCTGAATTTCATTTTTGAAAACGTATAAGGTCATAAACTCATGAACTACAATGCTTAACCCCAACATATGTCTGATTGTCATGCTCAAGCTTGGTACACAATAAATCTAAAAAAAATTCAACACACTTTGATAGAGCACTAACACTCTTTTAATCAATGAGTTGACGCTTTCAGCAAAGAGATTATTTCTAAAATATTTAGACGAAGTTAACTGTTGTAACACTTTACGTTTATAATGAAGGAAAGTTGTTTTTTTCTTTATAAGCATGTTTTACTGTAAACTGAAAATGTTACAGTATTCAATCAAAATATATGCGGTAACAAATACTTAAATGTAAACTGTACCTGAGGCCATGATAGACCATGGTAAAAGTAGTACTTCATTTGGTAGTTTTCAGGCAGACATAAAAGATTACAATGCTGCATATTCATCAAGTCTTCCGGCTAAAAAACACAAACATAAACAGAAATAAAAATCAATCTTCATCACTGGGCTCTCAGGCCACAATGCTCAGCTGAGTAGCTTTAGCCATGCAGTATTCAATAGATTTTTATATTTCCTTGAAAAAATTTGACCCCATGTAATGACCCTGCCATACTTTTAAGGCGTCTCTGAATCCACCCACCAAGGAATACATACCTGTCAACATGGCCAAAATTTTTCGGGGGAGAAAACGCACGACGACCTTTTGCAAATGCGCGACGACCATTTGCAAATACAAAAAGTCATCGCGCGTTTCACTGTTTTATAGAACAAAAATAAACAACAAGATAAAACTTTATTATTAATATTAACACCATCATTAATTCATAAAATTTACTGTTTATTCATACATTGTTTAGAAACTTGTATAATGTGAATTAATTTTGAAATTATAAAATTTTATGTTCACTATCTATTCTGCCAGTCCATAAGAGCATCATTTAAATAATATTCATGGCAAATGTTGTAGTTTAACTTGGCAATTAGAAAAATTAATAAAGTTCTGCAGACAGTCTGAGTTTCAAGCTTTTAATAGATGGATGAATAGATTTTTCTCACTAAGTCTAAGGGACATGAGTTGTATCCTTGACTTAAAGATCTGAAATTGAAATAAATGTCAAAACTTCATGCTTATATTCTTAAAATAATGTGTAATATAGTATGAATGAAATACCCTGGTTTTTTTTTTCTTTTAATCTCATAAAATATATTAAAATTTTTAAATATAATACTTTATTTTAGTAATGTTCTAATGTGCTCATTTTACATTTTAATTTAGAAATGCATACCCTGTTTAGCTTTGTAAATTTAAAGGGGGCTGTTATATGCTGATGTTGATGCAGGATTTACTAAGTCATTGAATCTCAAAATCTGTTGGGAAATCTTCAGCTGACTCTGAACATTTATGTTAGCTTCCATGAAATTGTTTCCCTCTCCTTGTTAAATTAATAATAGAGTACTGTAGCCACACCTTTCCTGATCACTGTATTGTTTATGGAGTAATAGTTTTGTCTTAGGCACTTGTAAACTTATTTGCAGCAAAGCATCAAGTACTTCCATATCGTTCTTTACCGTCACGTTCTGTAAAAATTTCCACATCTGGCATCTCTGTCTTTGATAATATACACTTTTAATGAGAATAAGGAGCAATTACAACTGCAATTACATCTGCTAGCACAGTTGACACCTTGTTGATTACCTGTTATCAGTGGCAATAAACAGATTAGCTACCGATATAAACACTGCATAGCCTCCATTTTTGTGTTGACTAGTCGGTATTTTACGCACCCAAGTAGGTAAAAAATCCGGAATTTTTCAAAATCGGTAGAAACGGCAGTTTAAAAAAAAATCGGTAGACAGTCGGTAGGGACGGTAAAAAATCGGTAGACTCCCGATAAATTCGGGAGAGTTGACAGGTATGGGAATATGCCTCAGTGTCAGTAATAAATTCATTTCCTTGTATATATATACATGCATTTTGTAAAATATGATCCAACGTTTAGGTGGATAGAACATTCTATCATCAAAATGATTTTGTCCTATGGACTTGGCTTAAGGATAGAATTCCTTCCATGTATCAAAACAAAGACATGTGATAATTAGGGAACAACTATCTTCTAATTTGGTATTTGCCACCGTTAATGCTGATTCAACAGTCGCAAACTGAGTTTTACCGTTGACGCATAAGATTACTTTTTAATACTGCTAGTACTACATGAAATGAAATGTATTTTATTTAATTATGGCGAGGGCTTAATAAGTAAATTCATTGTCCTTGAGTCACATTTAGATTGTGGAGGTCACTGGGTTTGATCGCCGGAGGTCAGATAGCTCAGTTGGTAGAGCACCTGACTGGAGCTTCAGTGGGCCAGGGTTTGAATCCCGGTCTGGTCTGCAGCATTTTCTCCTTTCCCGTTACAGATGATTCTAACTATAGTGATGGATCTACCAGTGAGACACCTGGGTCGATGTCCTTGGGTATGAAGACCTACAAATTGGAATGTGGCACTAGGTCTCGGCACTAGGCTCAGTGGCCAAATATTGTAGTTGGTAGCCACTGATTTTTTTTTTTTTAATTTCTCCTTTACTATTACACAACTAAATTCAATGAGACCAGAAAACAAGTTTTTCATAAAATGAATTCCTACCTTTGCGCATCTGATATTCATTCTGAATATTTTTTGTTGTCTTTTAACATATAATTAATTTGTTTTTCTGGTCGCTCAGCTCGTGCTCCTTTAACTCCTTTTACACCGGAAACGAGATCCATATATGGCAGATAAATGTCGTAAATATGGTAAAGGCGTTGGAATTAGATAAAATGCATGTTAAGTGAAAGCACATTCAGAGACCTATATTAAGCTTTAAATCTATAACTGTGACTATTTTTATTTAATTATTGTGGTCTTTTACTATGTCGCAAATTTTCTACTTTCGATTTCAACTTTTTGTGTCCTCCGGTATAAAGATGTAGATACATCAGGGCAACAGTACTGTAGGGGAGTTCACATAATTTGCAATAGTGACAAAAGTAAGTATTTTATGGATATGACAAATCTGAGTTTTCTCAACTTGTTTTCATATTATCAAATTGGCCATAGATCTAAACATGTCTCTGATCTAAAGCAGAGGCCCTGAGAGGGACCATGCACTATGCAAAGTGCATTACTGCATATCAGCCTATGGGACCATAGTCTTAGATAAAGGTTAGACGAGCTCACTTTCCCAATATATATACTGGTGTCTCATTATATCGCGGTACTTCATTCTTTTGCATAAAAAGTGTAATTTCTAAATTTTACTTCAATTTATTTCAAATGGTACTTATAATTCTAACTTTGGCCTAACTTTTTAGTGTCAAATTATTTTCCAAGCTTGCATCGTTTAATTTGTGGTCTATTTTTAAAACAGGAAGTCTTATTTACCTCCTAAATAGGAGAGTCTCATTGTATCGCGGTATGGGAATTAAAACATGGAAACTTGTAAGTGGCAGGGTGTTGCTAAAACGCGGAACGGAAAACGGAACGGAAAGCAGAACGGAACGGAAAACGGAATATATTATTTTGGATTAAATCACTTAAAATACACAAAATTTATCATAAATGATATATTTTGTACATATTCGATCCCCCACTATTAAATACAAGTTGATTTTATCATGCTCCGTTTCGTTTTTACTAGAATAGCTAACATATAGCAGTCACCTAGAATCGAATTTGAAAAGGGGGATAAACGAACTTGAAAAGTATTTGACAAGCAAAAACACAATAAGAAACAATTGTTTGATTCGGGAGGGGGGGATAAAACACAAAAAGAAAACAATTGTTTGATTCGGGAGGGGGGATAGGTTCCAATTCCAACATCTTTCAGTACTATTTTTCTTACACTAACATACATTAATTACATTCACAAAAAGTGTGAGGATGTCAACTTAAACGAACATTTCCGTAGTAAAAAGGTTATGACTGGGGGATCAAATATTTGATATCTAAATGAACCATGAAAGAGAAATAAAATGTAAAAAAAAATTATTAAGATAATACGTTTAGGGCAAACCTTTACGGCAAGCTCGAAGAAACATGTTTTATACACACACTGGTTGTTAAAATTTTATTCAAAATAGAGACATTTTCTATATATTTAAATTCTGGAAAGACAAAGTGGAAAACTTTCATGTCATTCAATGAAGTTAAATTTTGTTTACGGTACATATGTGTGTATCTTTGGGGGGGGGGGTGTATATGAATGACCCCGTAAAAATGAGATTGTTTTCCCACTCATCGGTAATAGGTATGCCCCCCTTTTTGTGTCAAAAATATACATAAGGTTTAATAAATCAATTTTTAATGTGACTGTGGGCCCCTACATAGACCCGAAACTGCCACTCCCCCTTTCATGATTCGAGAATTCGACACTGCGCGTGCATAATCTGAATATCATAAATAGTTATTTTTGTCTTTACAGATATTGACATTGGGGGGGGGGGGTCAGTAAAAATTTTCCAACATACAACAAATTTGACAAACCAAAAAAAGGGGGAAATGTCCTTTGCCCAAACATGAAAATCCTATTTCGTGTGTGTGTGGGTGGGGGGATCGAATTTCTTTCAGTACCATTTTTTCCACGGAAGTTGTGTATGACTCATGAATAGTTTACAATAAATTTTTATCAGAAATGATTTTTACAACAAGAATATTGCTCTTTTAACTGATTTATATCGAATCTATGTTATTTGGTTGACAAAAATTTTCCGTTTTCCGTTCCGTTCCGCTTTCCGTTCCGTTTTCCGTTCCGCGTTTTAGCAACACCCGTAAGTGGCATGGACCTCAATTTTTATTTGTTGAATTTACGGTGTAATTTTACATGAAAAAATAAACAATTGTACAAACGAAAGACTTTTAAAAGGTGAACTTTATTATAATTTTACTAGGTTATACATGCATTTAATGGTCTAAATTTAATAAAAACGGGACTGGAAATCTTCAAAATTACGTTTTATTTGAATATTTTTATTTTCAAAAGGATGTTCCATGCTTCTTAATCATCAAAAAGGTAAACATTCAGACAACATACAAATTGTCCATGAATTAAAAAAATATAGGCTAGGTAACCATATTTTTGCGATATACCGCAATACAGTGAAACCTGCGATATAATGAGAATCGAGTATATTAGTATTCCTTTAGTAAAGTCGAGACTGAGATCGTGAGCTAAATTAAGTTTCATCGCCCTGGAGACAGTTTTAAAATTTCACGAAATCAAGATTTTACTCTTTGATTAATTAGGCCTAGGCTGCGTTGGGCGGCGGCCTTGGGCAACATTTTCACATTTGGATCCAACAAATCATATATTCCCTTATACCCATGCAGTCAATAACTGGATATTATGAATGGATGAATGTATTTTCCTCCAAATGGTAGGCACAGATTATCTAACCTAGCTGCATAATTTATTCAGAAATCATATGTAATACTAGGGATGTGCGATTTTACCGGTATATCGCGATTTTTAGCTCTACTGGTCAGAGACCAGAAGAGCTTATGCGATAGTAATGCGTCCGGGGTCCGTCCGTCTGTCTATCTGTCTGTCTGTCCGTCTGTCTGTAAACAATTTTTCAAAATGCTACTCCTCCTACAGTTTTGGTCTGTTTTCAATATAACTTGGCACACAAGTAGACTACACTAAGATACATAAATTAGAGCATCGGTTTTTGATTTCGATGAACGGTGTTGCCATGGTTACTAAAAATAGAATTTTCTGTGAAATTCCTTTAAATTGCTACTCCTCCTACAGTTTTGGTTTGATTTCAATATAACTTGGCACACAAGTAGACTACACTAAGATACATAAAATAGTGCATAGGTTTTTGATTTGAATGAATGATGTTGTCGTGGTTACTAAAAATAGAATTTTCTGTGAAATTCCTTTAGAACGCTACTCCTCCTACAGTTTTGATCTGATTTCAATATTACTTGGCACACAAGTAGACTACACTAAGATACATAAAAAAGAGCATCAGTTTTTGATTTCGATGAATGATGTTGCCATGGTTACTAAAAATAGAATTTTCTGTGAAATTCCCTTAAAATGCTACTCCTCCTACAGTTTTGATCTTATTCTAGTACAACTTGGCACACAAGTACACTACATTAAGATACATAAAATAGTGCATTGGTTTTGATTTCGATGAACCGTGTTGCCATGGTTACTAAAAATAGAATTTTCTGTGAAATTCCCTTAAAATGCTACTCCTCCTACAGTTTTGATCTGATTTCAATATAACTTAGCACACAAGTAGACTACACTAAAATACATAGAATAGTGCATCGGTTTTGATTTCGATGAACCGTGTTGCCATGGTTACTAAAAATAGAATTTTCTGTGAAATTCCTTTAAAATGCTACTCCTCCTACAGTTTTGATCGGATTTCAATATAACTTAGCACACAAGTAGACTACACTAAAATACATAGAATAGTGCATCGGTTTTGATTTCGATGAACGGTGTTGCCATGAATACTAAAAATAGAATTTTCTGTGAAATTCCTTTAAAATGCTACTCCTCCTACAGTTTTGATCTGAATTCAATATAACTTAGAACACAAGTAGACTACACTAAAATACATAAAATAGTGCATCAGTTTTTGATTTCAATGAACGGTGTTGCCATTGTTACTAAAAATAGAAATGTCTGAAATTCCTTAAAATGCTACTCCTACAGTTTTTTTGGTCTGATGGCAATGGCTTCTTTTCTCATCCTTTGTTCTAAGTACAAACCAGTAGAGCTATAGTCTCGACAGAGACTTCTGGTTTATTGTGTGATACGTATAGTGATACAGAGACCTAAATTACAGGAATTTTAGGTAACATATTATAAAGTCCAGAAATTATTCATTTATTTGTTCAATCTTTCAACTTACAATTACAGAAAATCTAATTAAAAAATGTTGTGGAAGGTGAAAAAATGGCATCTTAGCATCCAAACATGATTAATTTTATGTACATAAATTTTTTTTTAAAGTGAAATTTTCTTTTTCTAGCATATTTTTAAGAAAAATAATGACATAACCGGTATTCATTTAAAATCATTGTAAAATTTGCTTGTAAAATATCATGATATTATCGTCATATTTTGGGGAAAAATCGAGTATATCATGATACAAAATTTTTTGGCAATACCCATCCCTATGTACATGATGTAATACACTGCAGTCATCAAAAAATTGAAAATTTTCATTGCTGCTAATAATTTACTGCATTTTCTGAAAATGAACTCAAATGTAAATTGTTGATAGTGGCAGGTCAGATTGTTGACATTGGACATCCCCCCTCCCTAGGGTGGCAGTCCATTTGTATGCCGATTCCCCTAGACTACGAGCTCAACAACTTCCTACAAAAACTGGCAGATGAAGTCACAGAGGAGGATCTCCGCAAGCTTAAAGCTCTACTTCATGGTTTGTCTTAAGATTTTTGATAAGAATGCCCACTTAGTTGTCAATATGAATACAAGAGCAGGTGATTAAAGAAAGCAACTTGTGATACCATATGCATTTTTGTAAGTTAATGATAGTGAATTGAAATTCTGAAATGTTCTTGATCTTGCATTTATTTATGCATTGTGCCATATGGACAAATTTAGTTTGATATCTAGTTCTAGCTGCAAATGTTTGAATATTTCACTAGGATTTGGAACATTGAAACACTTTTCTGACTGTGTTATCACCCCTCTCATTGCAGCCACAACTGTACACTTATTTAGTAAATGTTGATTTCTTTGCCGATTCTCTTGAACAATCTGTCTGTAGGTGATGGGGGACTACACAGGCGGACCTCGGCCAGCATTGAATCCGCTGTGGATTACTTTACAGTATTAAAGGAGAGACTGTATCTAAACAGGGAGAACTTAATCTTCTTACAAGCTTGTCTGTGGAATATAGGTCGCCGTGACCTACATCGGAAATGTGTGGAATTTGCCAAGTCTTCAGAAAAAATTCTTCATTTCTATTGTCCAAAGGAAACACCAGGTTAGTTTTTGAAATTACTCAATGGAAGGAGTACCGGGTATTTACTGGAGATATTATTAGGATACTGAAGATGTATGTTTTTTTTCAATACCATCTTTGAATTATTTTTCCCCTTTATTTGCATGTTTTAAGCTCACCTGAGGAGAAGCAGAAGAGATGTGGGTTGTTTGTTCTTTTTAAATACCAGGAATAATATAAAAAATCCAAGAAAATACATGATATTTAAAGTGGTTAACTTGGGTATTTTCAGTTAATTAAGGCAAATTTTAAGGTACCAACAAAATGGACTAATTATTTCCAGATACAACTTACCAAAGATACATTTTTCTTCCGAAACATACAAAGACTGTAAAAGAAAATTTTGCAGTACTAATTATCAATCCTTCTATAGATTTTTAGATGTAGCACTAGTTAAGCTTGATAGGATCATCTATGTACTGAGAGTAAATGTACTTGTTATAAATTCTGACAGAAAATGGATATCAGTTCATCAAGTTCCATGTGGCTGGGGGTCTGGACACGTTTCAGCGACCACAGCTGGAGCATGTTCGTCGGACCGTGGCACAGTTGATTGGGTGTTTAGCTGAGCATGTATTTGTGGCGGGGATCGAACCCTCTAACAGCTTGGTGGTGACCCTTATGGTGCCGACTTCCTATGTCGATCTGCTGCCCTGCGCTGATAAACACGAGCTGGTCTTACTAAGAGCTGTAGACGTGGACAAAATCATCATCAAAGACACCGTGGAGATTGAGATCCCTTGCTATGGTACTGTAGATTCCTTATTTTTTGTGAGTACTTAAATGTACATGTATTATCGCGAATGGACTCTTCAACGTCAAATAACGAGAATAATAATTCACGACTGGATGTTTTTCAAGAGATTTTACAAAAGATTTCAGCACCATAAAAATAAAGGCGAGTGATTTTATTTCGCGTGTGGTGCTTCTCGCGAAATTACGCGATAATTAATTCCACAGGCATATTAAGGAATCTACAGTAATTTATCTACATTGTTGTCTGAATGTTTCTCTCTCTCTCTCTCACTTTCTCTCTCATTGTAAATATTACCCTTCATAGTGGAAAAATGTAGATTTCATATTTTACTGAGATTTGATGCCATTTATATGATCCTACAGGAGGTTACCATGCAAGTGAAATTCGTAACATACTCAGGAGAATGAAAGACCTGGAGAGACAGCTGGATATATCAAATCAGAAATTACTGGAGGCTGAGAAAGGTAAGCTTACATAGAGTCATTACTGGAGGCAGAGAGAGGTAAGCTTACATGAAAATACTTTTATTTTACTTGTACTTTAATTCAAAACTTTCCCCTTCTGTTGATTTAATGACGGATTTAGTATGTGTCTACCATTTAAAATACTGATACAACATATATGATATATTGTAGGTGCAAATATTGAATAATATTTTGAAAAGTTAAATTTAAAGAATATATATATTTCTGGCAGAGAATAGAAAGCTATTCCAAAGTTCCTTGACAAGGATATCTCCAAACTCTCCCATGGTTCCTGGGACACAAGATTTTTCTTTGACCACTTCTACTCCACTGAAGAGAACAGGAACCCAGATAGTCCAGGTAGAGGTTAATTTTTGTGCTTAACTGTACACGTATATTATGCAGTCAGTTTTTTCTTGCTGAACTTAAAATCTCAATGAAAAGATTGATTCCATATTTTTCTTTTTTTAGGCAGCATTTGATTTAGGATCTGACACAGAAGAGCCAATTAAAGAGGAGACAACTGCATTGTATCATTCTCAAATGAGCATTGAGAGAGGAAGTGATGTGGGTGAGCCATCTTATTTGTGATCAGTGAAAACTGTGTAATCTAGCTGACAACTGTGCAGGCTTGTTTCACAGTGTATTACAACTCTTATTTTGAATCCCATGTTACTGTTTTCTACGTTCTTTATCTGGACAGTCTGACACCCTGTTTAATTTAAATTTGTCTCCAGAGTGAATGTCAGATTAGGCAGGTTCCAATGTAGTTTAAAAGTTGAAAATGTGAAACTCTTTAGAAAATATAGACAAACCTCAATACATCAAACTCCATGTGACTGAGAAAAAACTCTGTGATATCTGGGAATTTCATATCAAGGGTAACTATTGAAGGACTACAGTATATGTGCTGGTGACTTACAAATCACTGAAATATCAATGGCCTGTGAGATGTTGTTTGAGATACTGATGTTAAACTGTTAATCATCAGAGACATGACATATCAGAAAGAACCACTGACCAGAGATGAAGAGACTAAGCATAGTTTCATCATTTTTCATTGAATACCAATGTTCACTGTAGTTGTAGTTGAGTAACAGCACAAAAAATTCAGTGGTAAATGTGGACTCAACTAGAAATGTTATTTATGGTAATAGAATAGGACAAGGTACCTGTCCACAAATCTACATATTAATATAAACTTGTGAATTTACTTCACTATATCCATAAATTCACTGTATCCATGTTTATTCTAAACCAAGTTTTAATGTTTGTGCAGAATTCCTATTCTTAAGTTACTGGATCTCTGTAAAATTCTGTTCAATGAAGTCTTGTTTCTCCTTTAGAACCAGAGGGCTACACACGCTCAATAAAGGTGAGCAATCTGCCCCTCGACGCAGTGGATGCAGAACTGAGGGAATACTTTGAGAGGAGGAGGGAACATGGAGGGGGACCAGTAAAGGACGTGACCTTGACCAGCCGGTCAGGGGAGGCAATCGTCAGCTTCCAGGACCCGGGAAGTAAGTTAACATACAGAGGATAATAGACAGCATGTTCAACATAAAGTTAGTTTTTGTAATGCAATAAAATACAAAGTAATACTCTTACCACTTTAAATCAGGTCAGTCTCCTTAAAAGTTGATTATTTTGTCTTTGTTGTCAGGATATACTTATTGCAAAACTTAAGCATCATAAAACCATGTTGGGGTCTTCAAATACACTCTTCATGAAACAATTGTAAACGAATGCCATAAAGTTGTACTGTCACTTTTCTGCTTACTTCCAGCCGTAACAAGACTATTGCAAAGTGAACCACTGCTTTTCAAAACAAACTACATCAAAGTAGAGCCCTATGTCCCAATGGATGACAGCAGACTTAGTCTGAGTGGACTCGCTGATCCTGAACTGACTAGTGAAGCGGAACAGAACCTAACAGTGACCCTAGAGGTCAGTGGGTTCAAACCAGAAACAAGGGAGGAAACTCTGGAGGATTACTTTGTGAATGAGAAGAGTGGTGGGAGTTCCGATTGTGTCAGTCTGCCTGTCAGTATGGCGGCAGACAAAAGTGTGGCATATGTCAAGTTAAAAGACAGGAATGGTCAGTTAAACATTAGGATTTTATTTTATGAGTCTTGTTTTGTTGAAAGCACTGATGCTTAATTGTTGATATGCATTTCATTGCAGAAGTGCAAATGAGCAAAATATAAAAGAGTAACTTTTAATGAAATGGTGAGAATAAAAAGCTCAGCTAGTACTAGAACAACCCTAGATTAATGTGATTCTGCTATTTTCACAGTGGCCAAGAATATTCTGAAGAAGAGGGACCACGTTTTGGATGGGGTCAAGTTGGAGGTCAAGCAGTTTGACCAGAAGAATGTAGAACCCAAATTTTACAAAAATAAAGTCTTTGTTACAGGTCTGAATTTTTTTTTATGATATATGTTTGTATGAAAATTTTAAAAAAATTTAATCAACCCTTCAATTAAAAAATTAATGTAGTAGTGTACTTAAATCCAAGTAAAAGGCAAGTTACTGTTATATATATTAACTTTTAAAATTATATCAGATCTGCAAATGTAAGAATTTTTTTGTGCACAATTCCTTCTTCCTTTAGCTATTCTAAAAAAAAAATTGAATAAAAAACTTTCATTTTGCAAATTTACTCAGACACTGTTGTAAATTAATTTTTTCTGTAAATATTGTTTGTGAGATTTTAAAAATGTTGACTTACTGTAGAAGTCCTTTTTTCCGTGTGGTATTAATTTACGCTATGTACACTGTCACAAATTTTCTGCGAAAATTTGTCCAAGCCTACTTAATATAAACTCAAGGCATATAGTGACAGTCTGAGAAATTCGTGTAAATTTCAACCTGCGGATTAAATGGAAATTGAGATTGTGCGGAATTATGACCCCGTGGAAAAAAGTATGTCTACAGAATTTGTATAATTATTTACATATTTAATCTTAGGAATTGATCCCAAGACAACACAAGATGGTCTGGAGAACTACCTGTCTAACCGTGCCAGTACCAAAGTGGGTGATATTGTGAGGGGGGAAGATGACTCCAGGGCTGTAGTTACATTCACTTCAGATATAGGTGTGTATACTAAAGAGCTCTGCTGTGCTATAAATAAATTGAATTGGTTATTTATGTATCAAAGAGGTACTCTGTTTAAAAATTTAATTGAATGTTAAAACACTTTTCATTTAAAATTTACCTTTACTTGAAAAACCAACTAAAGTTGAGGATTTTTCTCTTTGTAAAGTGTCTATTTCTGGCTGTCAAGTCCAAAATATATACTTTGACAGTCAAGTACAGAAGTGCAAAACCCTTGCTTTATTAATTATACCTCTGCTCTAAAGGAGAGGGGAATATTCTGTTTTACCCTGTGTTACCCTTGTGTGTCTCTCTGTCTGTTTATCTTTCTGGCACGTGTCTGTCCATAACAAATTTTTGTGACAGTTTTCTCAGCAACTACTAATCACAGATGCTAAAAATTTCACACACTTTGTTTAGGTAGGCCTAAAAACTTGGTTTCATTATTTCTGTTTGGAACTTTTTTGTTTTTTATCAAAATGATATTCACAGATATCAAGAAACTCCAAGAGATGTGCAGAACTAAAACTCTGGATGGAAAACATCTGACAGTGGAGAATGTCAAGGTCAATGGTAGTGTCCTAGTTAGAAACGTCCTTGACACAACGACAGAAGATTGTCTAGGCATGCACTTCCAGTATCGTGTAAATGGAGGCAAAATTAGCAAAATCCAAAAACAGGGGGAGGACTCTTTTCTTGTGTGGTTCTCTAATCCTACAGGTAATACACCTGTGGTGCTCAAAATATTCTTGTTTAGATCACTTTCTTAAGGTCAAGATCTAGTAAATGAAAGGTGCCTACAGATTTATCAAACTTGAGAAATAAATTCCTTCATTGATGCTTTACAACTTTAGCTTGGTCAAATAAGGTGTTTCGGGGCATAATTTGTAGATAAACAAGATGAAAAACTGGTTTTTAAAATGTAATTTTTAATGAAAAATTAAGAAAACCAGTCATGAAAATGGGAGTTTTTTCGTATTCAGCAAAGAAAATGTATCCAGATTGCCTACAGTCTTTCAGAAAACGGTAATTAGTATGTTCATGGCCTCTTCTGTAAATCAATATCAAATTTAATATAGATATCCAGTTTACTTTTTAGCTCACCTGAGCCGAAGGCTCAAGTGAGCTTTTCTGATCACATTTTGTCCGGCGTCCATCGTTTTCCGTTACCCTTGTGTGTCCGTCTATCTGTCTGTCTGTCTGTAAACTTTTCACATTTTCGACTTCTTCTCAAGAACCACTGGGCCAATTTCAACCAAACTTGCCACAAAGCATCCTTGGGTGAAGGGGATTCAAGTTTGTACAAATGAAGGGCCACACCCTCATTCAAGGGGAGATAATTGGGAATTAATGAAAATTTGGTGGCATGTTTTAAAAATCTTCTTCTCAAGAACCACTGTGCCAGGAAAGATGAAACTTATGGGGTAAAATCCTCAGGTAGTGTAGATTCAAGTTTGTTCAAATAATGACCCCCGGGGGTAGGGCGGGCCAAAATGGCCGACCAAAGTTTTACATAGAAATATATTGGAAAATTCTTTAAAAATCTTCTTATCAAGAATGACAAAGCCAGGAAAGATGAAACTTGTGGAGTAACATCCTCAGGTAGTGTAGATTGAAGTTTGTTGAAATCATGACCCCCAGGGGTAGGACGGGGTCAAAATGGCCGACCAAAGTTTTACATAGAAATATATAGGAAAATTCTTTAAAAATCTTCTTCTCAAGAATGACAGAGCCATAATTCATCAAATTTATATGGAAGCATCCTAAGGTAGTGAAGATTCAAGTTTGTTCAAATCATGACCCCCGGGGGTAGGGCGGGGCCAAAATGGCTGACCAAAGTTTTACATAAAAATATATAGGAAAATTCTTTAAAAATCTTCTTCTCAAGAATGACAGAGCCATAATTCATCAAATTTATATGGAAGCATCCTCAGGTAGTGAAGATTCAAGTTTGTTCAAATTCCTTTAAAATGACCCCCGGGGGTAGGGCGGCACACAAAATGGCCTAAGATACCAAAGTTTTACATAGAAATATATAGGAAAATTCTTTAAAAATCTTCTTCTCAAGAACACACAAAGCCATAATTCATCAAATTTATATGGAAGTATCCTCAGGTAGTGAAGATTCAAGTTTGTTCAAATCATGACCCCCGGGGGTGGGGCGGGGCCAAAATGGCCGACCAAAGTTTTACATAGAAATTAATGGGAAAATTCTTTAAAAATCTTCTTCTCAAGAATGACAAATTTAAGCCATTATTCATCATATTTATATGGAAGCATCCTCAGGTAGTGTAGATTCAAATTTGTTCAAATCATGACCCCAGGGGGTAGGGCGGGGCCAAAATGGCCGACCAAAGTTTTACATAGAAATATATTGGAAAATTCTTTGAAGAATAGCAAATCCATGATTGATCATGGGATTACTTTTGGATTTTAACTTTTCAATAATAAACCAATTTCTACTTTTTCTAAGCTACAGTACTCAGGTGAGCGATGTGGCCCATGGGCCTCTTGTCATATGAGTTCAAATTGAATGACATGAAAATACCCTATTTTCTACATAATTCTGCTAAAGCCATAAAGTACGGGAAAAAGAAAGTTGAAATTGATTATGACGTCATAATGGATCTAGCACCAAAAAATTAGTCTCAAGTTATTTACTAGATCTTGACCTTAAGGTAAATTGACCCTCTGATAAGAGAGGCAACTCTTACTAAGAAAAAATGATATTTCTTTTAGAAATTGTAAAATTATGGCTTTTTCTGTAAAATTTTGTGCAACAAAAAAAGTTGAAAGTATGTGCATTTTTATCATATTTTTTCTAATAGACAGTATACAAGCAAAATTTCATATGAGTGAACTAAAGGATAACAGCTGCATTTTTCTTGGTACTAGTCATACATGTACTTATCAGTTTTTTGTCATTTTTTTCTTTTGTTTACAGTTGCTGGCGATGTTTGTAGTCGTTACCATAGTGTTGATGGGCAGGAACTGGAGGTTTCATTGTACTATGAATGCATGGGAGTTTCTCGCAACTCACAACTGCAAATGTCCTTTAATCCTCCCCCAGACTTCATCTTTGATCCCAAGGATGCTGAGAAATTATCCTATCTTGCTTCTTCCCCTCAGGCACAAAATAGATTAAAATCACAGCTAGAACCACTGTATGCTACAGCAGATATTCGAACTGAGGGTAAATATAAATATATTTCCCTACATTGCACTCTTACTGGCAATGTTCAAGAATGCAGACAAAAGGCCAGGAAATGGAATAAAAAAGTCAACAAAAAGATGGAAGAATTTTTCCATGGCATTGTGGTAGAAACTTTAAACCCTTTAAAGGAAGTTTGGACAGAGGTAGAAGAGAAAAAGGGAGAATTTGAAAAAGAGGCTGAGGGATCTGTCATTATTTTCCCGAAATTTGATTCTTTGGAGGTCAAGGTTATAGGATGGAGAGAAAGTGTCCCCTTGGTTATGGAAAAACTCAGAGGTTTTATCAAGAGCGCCAATGAAAAACTGGAGAAAATAAAAAATGAAATAACAGAAGTATTCTCTATGTCAAAACCTTTGAGCGTAAAGGTCTTGAAAGAGGTGGACTTCATTGAGAAATGTCGGACAGAGTTCCCACGTTGTCAGATAAATGTTAATGAAGACAAATTGGAAGTTCAGTTTGTAGGCTTTCCAACGGATGTGTACAGAGCCAAATGTGAAATGTTGGAGCTTCTACACAAAAGAAGTAGGGTTCCAGTCGGGCCGTTCTCTAGACACAGGCTGGAATTTTTAGAATCCCCCAAGATTTGTGGCTATTTAGCCGAGAAAATGAATGAAAGAGGTTTGAAGGGATTTTATGAGGTTAGAAAAGATCGATACATTGAAGTTAATGCTGAAACGGATGAAAAAGCTGTGAACATGGCCCAATTCATTAAAAGCTTCATCATTGAGACACCACGCAAAGTGACGAGTTTTGACAAACCTCTTCTTGGCTCCAAACAGTTTAAATCTGAAGTAGAAAAGATACAGAAGGACTACGATAATTTAGTCAAGGTCATTCCAGATGTGGAAAACCTGGTTATTAGAACCTTAGTTGTGTCAGAAGTGGAGAAAATTGTGCTGGAGTTGATAGATAAATTTCTCAATGAGAATATCATGGTTGGAGAAGCCTTGAGAGTTCCTGCAGCCATGTCAAGGTATATCAACACGTTCTGCTCGGATGAAGTACAAACCATAGAGTCAAAATTCAAAGAGAAATATCACGTGCAGATTAACTGTGTTCCTTCAGCTGTCTGTGTCACAGCAGTTGAGGCTGGGCTATCTGAGGTAGAGAGAGAGGTCATGAACATGATTCAGAAAATCGTGAGAGTAACGGAAACTATGAAGCGCCCCAGCATGGTGAAGTATCTAATGTCAGACAGTGCCAGATGTAAGGCAGATTACATAGAGCATGAATTCGAGTGTGTCATCACAGCGGACCTTGAGGAGAGCTTTAACGTGCCAGTCCAGAAACAAAAATCACAAGAAAATGACATGTATCAGGTACTCACTGAAGAATACTTCATTTATATAATTATATACATTAAGTTTACATAATTATACTGCACTGTATGCAATGAAACTTGTACGTTAGAATATGCAGGGGGAAAATCTGATGAAATTAGAAAAGGATATTGTGACTCAGCTGAGCATCCTGGTCAGTGGACCCCTTTTCACATGTACATTTTTTTTTCTTTTTTTTAAGTACATCTTTATTTTTTCAATTTATGTAATACAATAGAATAAATTATTATTATCTAGAATTTTTATTGCTCTCATAAATAAGTCTGATAAATAATAATTCTCTGACTTCAGATGGCATCTTGTGAGTTGAATTATGGAAGAAGGGTAATAGTCATCAAACATGATCTAACTGACATGGAGGTGGATGTTATAGTGAATGCTGCCGACAACCGCCTGAAGCTAGAGGGAGGGCTGGCCCTGGTCATAGGGCAAAAAGGTCTGTCTAGCAATTCATAGGGCAAAGAGGTTTGTCTAACAATTCATAGGGCAAAGAGGTCTGTCTAATGAGTCATAGGGCATGTACATGTATATATAACTTTGTACTAATTATTTCACTTTTGCTATAGGTGGAGATAAGATGCGTAAATTTTGTCAGGATTTTATTCTGGAGTCGGGACCCCTGAGTTACGGGGAGATTTTCTGTTGTCCCGGGACAGGGTCATTAAAGTGTAAGGCAGTTATCCACGCCGTGGGTCCCGTCTGGCAGGACGGAGGCCACCAGGAGGCGGAGCTTCTCCGCGAGGTTATATTTAGCTGCCTGGAGGAGTGTGACAAACCACACAACCAGTTTCAGTAAGCATCACAGAGGTGACCTATTGCTGTCTGTTTTTGTCTGACATCATCTGTTACTCATCATCCTTCAACTTTATTTTGACATTTTCAAATCCTTATATAAAGCTGCTACACCAATTTCAACAAATTTTGGTTTATGCAGTAAAACTTGGTAACATGGAAGTAACTAGGACTTTTAATTTGAATTCTTTTTTATAAACAAGTTTCTTACTGTTTGCTGTAGCCTTTCATGGTTTTCATTGGTAGTTCAATAGCCATTCCAGCCATCAGTACCGGGGTGTTTAACTATCCTCGAGAGAAGGCCACACAGGTGATTGTGGAAACCATTAGGGACTACTTCCTGGAGAATCAGGACTCGGTCATCCAGGAAGTTCACCTCTGTGACATCAAGACTCTTGTTGTCGAGGCATTCACTGCCGCGCTGAAAAATAACTTCAAGAATGTTGTAGAAGGTGACAGTCAGGGGCGTGCATGGAAGAGACTCAAAAAACCTGCAGGTAGAATGTTAAGTGCATAGTATTTGATTTGTCTGTAAGGTTTTGATATTTAATGATAACTTTCTTTAATGAAAAATTCTATTTTCATCTGACAACAACTGACCCATTTTTAATGTTTTCACAAATTAAACAGTTTTCTTTTAAACAATCTGCTGGTTTCAATCCTTCAGACAAAGCATCTTTCGAGATGGAGTATACACTTGGGAATTCCCTGAACAAACGAGATCCGACAGAGAGCTCGGTGGAGCTGACATTGTACGGACACAATGAGGACCAGCTCAGGTCAGCCTTCCAGAATTTTCTGGACAAAGCTGATCAGGAGGATTATATACGAAAGGACAGCAATGACCCGCTGCTGAAAGACCTGAAAGAAAAGCAGGTAAGGAAACACTAGCTTATAAGAAGTTTGTGTACAATGATCAGGCCTGGGGGCCATAAGACGTAGATGAGCTCACTTTTTATCTCAGTCTCGCTTTTCCTATGGAATTAATTAGTGGAAAAGTGAGATTGAAAGTGAGCATGTAAAAGTTTTGTGGCCCCCACGCCTGATCCAAATTATCAATATTGCTAAGAATATCATCACCTGGAGACATTATTACACGTTTTTCTCTTTTACAGAAAACAAAATTGAATAATAAAGCAAAGGAACTTGGGGTTCATATTGACTTTGGAAAACTTAGGGTGGGTCGCATCAAATTACATGGACTCAAAGCAGACGTGTATGAAATGGAGGAAGTCATTCAGAAGTTGCTACGGAAACACAGCACGCAGCAGAAGGAGGAGCGAGAGCGCGAGTACTTCCTGTCCATGGTGAAGTGGAGGAGGATCTGCAGTGACGGAACAGAAGTAGAATGCCCGCCACAACTCAACATGAAGCTGGAAGAGAACTACAGGGGACAGGAGAGGAGAATTAAGTTTTCAATTGCAGATGAACAGTATACTGCTGATTTTTCCAAGATGACGCTTTGTGATTGCTATGGAACTTGTCAACTTGATCGCATTTCCAAAACAGAAGGTTTTTTTTTTTTTATCATCAATCCATAGACTTTTGAAAAAATAAATTCATCTCTGAAACTTCTTATAGGTGTAAACAATTTTTTAAAAAAAATTATGAAATGTTTTTAGAGTAAGAAAATGAAAATTTTGGGGTATTTGTCCCTGAAATACTTTGGTAGATGAAATAATCATAAAATCTGTTTTTTGAATGCTGTGTTATCATTATTTTGCATGAGGGCCTTATGTTCATGGGTCCCTCTTGCCCATAAATTTACATCCCCGTTTAAGCAATAACTTTGTCAGGGCATTAGTGTGAAACCTTCTTATTATATATGAAGTACAACATGAAGTTTCCATAAATCAGTAAAACTTTTATCTCCCCCCCCTCCATTAAAAATGATTCCATAATTAAAAATAACTTTAAAAATATGTCTGTTTTTTAGTATCATTTAAAAATTGATTAGTTTTGTTAATTGTAGGAAAAACCAGCACAGCTCTACCCTCCAATTGGTCCCAAATGAGTGAGGACGATAATCTGATTACGATACAGCTGGGTAAAAACAAACCAGAATACACCAGGATTGTGAGTAAACTCAAGACTGAGTCACAGGACAAGTTCAGCATCAACTGGTCCAGTGTAGTGGTAAGTACATAGGTAGATAAATATCAGGTTTAAAAGATCAAGGCAACCAAATATACATGTACACTGAACATGTAATACAGTAGCTCTTTCAAGTCTGTCTGTCCAGCAAATATTTAAGTTCACAAAAAAAGACATTTCATTTATGTCTGTATAAATGATCAAATATGTACGCCATTTTATTTTTCAATTTGATTGAAGAGCCACTGTTGGCTTGCTTCGTGGCATTTATACATACTGATAAATATGTGGTTTTCTTTACAAGAAAGAGAGATCATATCCAGTGGATACATGTATATTGGACTAATATATAAGTTGCGTCAAGCGAAAAGGGACCTTCAGGACAAAATTTCCAAAATTGGTTTTTGATGGTTTCTGAAAGAGCTAGTCCTTCTGAATGTTTTGATACCAAATATGTCACATCTTTGTAGACATAATTTTTTTTTGTCACAAAGATCCCTTTTTGCTTGACGCAACTCATATTTAATTATTTGTGTCAATGGTTATTCTGGAAATAATATATATCATAACATATTTACTGCTGTGAATTATACATCAGAGAAAGTAATATTTTTGAACTTAAAGTTTAATGCAGAGACACGACCACAACAAATATTTTGAGTTAATAATATGAGTTATTAATATGAGTTCTGTTAAAACAGGTTGAGAGAGTACAAAACCAAACCCTGTACAGGCAGTATGTAGCCAGAAAAGAATCCATGGAGAATCAGCCCCAGACTAGTTCGGCCCCAGTAGAGAGAGAACTATGGCACACAGTGGATATAGATGGCACATTTATTATCAATGCTGAAGGATTTAACAGGAACATCTGTAACAGAAAATGTAAGACAACTTCTGATGTACTATGCTAAATAGTGGGGTTTTTTATTTTTCAAGCAAGCATTAGCAAGAAAATAAAAATTTGCATGTAACACTTCATCTCACGAAAATGTTTTATGTAATTGCATAGTTTCATTCAAGTTTTGTTTAGCTGAAAACTAGGGCAGATACATGTATTTAAAATAAAAAATTCATTCAATTTTTCCTTTACACAGCTACGAGCCTTGGACAGGGTGTGTATTTTGATGTGTCCTTGGCCCACAGTCTAGAGCAGACAGACGCACAGACCGAAGGAAAACAGAGGGTGGTGTACCTCTGTCAAGTTCTGACAGGGAGCTTCACAAAAGGGTCCCCCAATCTTATCGTCCCTCCAGAGAACAAGAGTGGTGGATCCACACTTACGTGCTATGATTCGGTGGTGGACGACATAGAATCCCCCCGGACGTTTGTGATTTTTAGGGATTCGCAAGCTTATCCTGAATATATGATCAAATTTTCAGTTATTTAATAATACATGTAATGAAAATTGAATAAGAAATTTATACTTGACCTTCAACAGTTTTTTTTTTTTTTCTGTTGCATAAAATTTGATGAACATAAATTAATATGATTATTTACAGCATAAGCATTTTTATTTTATTGTGATGCTAAATGGCATAGTTGTTAAAATATGTGATACTAGAATTTTTTTATAACAGACTTGTTGTTTTATTTAGTTTTAAAATCAAGTTTTATTTACATGTAACTGTGGACTTTAGAAAGCTTTCTGTAATGTCCTTCTGTCTGATTTGGTTAATTTGACCAGTTTACAGCTCATTTTGTCAGATTTATATTGGGTAATCTTTTACTTTTTGTCAAATTACATTGTCTTATGAAGATTCATTTTCATAGGAACTTTTAAATTATGAATTTAGAATTCATTGAAGCTAAATATTAGGCAATATCTGACATAACCAAACATTTTTATGCGCCGGGATCGAAAGATCCGAGGCGTATATTGTTTTTGTCCTGTCTGTCTGTCTGTTTGTCTGTTTATCTGTTTGTCTGTTTGTCTGCAAACTTTAACCTTTGGTATAGCTTTTGAACCCTGAATGGTTGAGACTTCATATTTGGTATGCATACTTCACTAAGTAAGCTCTTTCAAATGACACCAAGATCAATGACCTTGTGACCTTGACTGTGACCTATATGCTAAAAATAGATTTTTTCTGCAAACTTTAACCTTCGCTATAACTTTTGAACTGTAAAAGATAAAGACTTCATATTTTATGCTTACTCCACTAATTAAGCTCTTTCAAATGACACCAAGGTTTATGACCTCGTGACCTTGATTGCATCCTATATGCTAAAAATAGCTTTTTTTAACATTCATCATAACTTTTGAACAATAAAAGATAGAGACTTCATATTTGGTATGCATACTCCACTAATTAAGCTCTTTCAAATGACACCAAGGACAATGACCTCGTGACCTTGACTGTGTCCTATATGCTAAAAATAGTTTTTTGAACAATCATCATAACTTTTGAACAATGAAAGAGAAAGATAGAGACTTCACATTTGTTATGCATACTGCACTAATTAAGCTCTTTCAAATGACACCAAGATCAATGACCTTGTGATCTTGACTGTGACCTATATGCTAAAAATATGTTTTTAACTTTGTTGCCGCCGGGCGCATAGTGTTTCACAAACACATCTTGTTTCTCAAAATTTTCTCCAATATTATGCACTAGTTCCACAGTAACGGGACATTTTATATATAGAATACAATTTATGTACTAATCAAGTAGGTACACTCTGTCAGTTGACAGTAAGAGAAAGTTTATATCATAATATGTTCAGGTCAGTATACATAGATATTTTGAAAAGAAAAGGCAGCCACAATTTATTACAAATACGAGGGTTGATCCAAAAGTAATGTCAATTCTTCGATAAAATTGAGAATAGTCGACGTAAAACAACAAAATTATAAATGATGAAACCCATATTTTTTTCAAATCAGACCTGAAAATTTCAATTCAACATTATTTATACTTTTCAAAATATTGGATTATATATAACGTGCGATTATGGTAGTGGCCGCACATAAATTACGTCATATGATTGATACACACCATCATACAATTAAACACTTTCATTTTGCTTTATTTAAAAAATATTTGAGATTCACGAACACGTTCACAAATTTCCTTTTTTTAAGAATTCTCGGTACCCATCGTACACTCGCTATTTTCAGAATTAAGTCCTCTGTCAAAGTTCTTTGAACGTGTTCCATAAGACAAACTTAAAATTTAACACATCGCTCTAACCGTTACACGTCTGTCTTTTTTGACAATGTCAGACTCCACTGAACGTTTCCGTCCAACCTCCCATCTTTCGGTCTTCCTGACCTCTGCTGACCAATCACCTGCCATGTATAAACAAGTTCCTTATTTACTTTCTTTTCTCTGTGAGTCTGATTAATTAACGCAACTGTCTCTACTGGTAATTTCCTCATTTTGAAGCAAAAATGCATTACAGCTCATTGCAGCATTTTTTTTCCATTTTGACTTTTCCTTTGTTCAATGCATCAGAGTAAAACAACAATATCTATGATCATAAATATCAATGACATCATTTAATTTTCAACTGAAGACTAGAAACTGACGTAAATTTTGTCTAAATTAAAATATTGAGTGATTAGGCGCTTTTTTTAGATGCTTTTAAATGTGTTTGTCTTTCTTCATTGTGAAAAAAATGTGACGTTTAGTTGTGATGCATCGACACCCCCTCTGTTCTATGCTTTAAACATCTATAAAATAAATTCAAGTTAACAATATTAAATGAAAATTTCAATTTTAATTCAATTTATATGCGTGCATCTTTTGGTATACATTGTATTTTATTTGATAATATGATGCCAAATAAAAAAGATATGGACACTGTAACATTACTTTTGGATCAACCCTCGTACATGTTACTTGCCTAGGATTTTTTAGCTCACCTCAACGAAGTTGGGGGGAGCTTATGTGATACCCTCGGCGTCGGCGTCGCGTCGGTGTCGGCGTCGGCGTCCCAGGTTAAGGTTAAGTTTTTTGGAGCAGTTTTCTTTTTAATTACTTCTGTGTCCTATACTGATGAGACATGCATGGAAGATGCTTCAAATGTGTTTTATTGTACCAGTCAAAGTTTCAGATGCTGCAATTTCAGCAAAGGAATTACCAGGTTAATGTTTTTGGAGCAGGTTAACATTTTTGGTGCAGTTTTTGGTGTGGGTTTCATTTCCAAGTAACTATAAATGTTGACCAAACTTGCATGGATGATACATCTAAGGATGCATACTAATGCTGAATCTGACCTACATTTTCCAGTTGAGTTGACAGGTTAATGTTTTTGGTGTGGGTTTCATTTCCAAGTAACTATAAGCCCTACGTTGACCAAACTTGCATGGATGATACATCTAAGGATGCATACTACCGGGCTTGCTTCGGATGCTGAATCTGACCTACATTTTCCGGTTGAGTGAACAGGTTAAAGTTTTTGGTGCAGGTTTCGTTTCCAAGTAACTATAAGCCCTATGTTGACCAAACTTGCATGGATGATACATCTAAGGATGCATACTACCGGGCTTGCTTCGGATGCTGAATCTGACCTACATTTTCCAGTTGAGTGAACAGGTTAATGTTTTTGGTGCAGGTTTCATTTGCAAGTAACTATAAGCCCTATGTTGACCAAACTTGCATGGATGATACATCTAAGGATGCATACTACCGGCTTGCTTCGGATGCTGAATCTGACCTACATTATCCAGTTGAGCGAACAGGTTAATGTTTTTGGTGCAGGTTTCATTTGCAAGTAACTTTAAGCCCTATGTTGACCAAACTTGCATGGATGATACATCTAAGGATGCACACTACCAGGCTTGCTTCGGATGCTGAATCTGACCTACATTTTCCGGTTGAGTGAATAGTTAAAAGTTTTTGGTGCAGGTTTCATTTCCAAGGAACTATGAGTTCTTTAATGACCAATCTTGCATAGATGATACATCTAAGGATGCATATTTCCAGGCTTGCTTCGGATGCTGAATCTGACCTACTTTTTGTGGATGAGTGAAAATGTTAGTTTTGATGCATGTTTCATTTCCAATAAACTATGAGCCTTATAATGAGCAAACTTGCATGGATGATACATCTAAGGATGCACACTAATGGACTTGCTTTGGATGCTGAATTGGACATACATTTTTCAGATAATAGACAAGGTAAAAGTTATGGTTGCAGGTCTATTACCAAAAACTATAAGGCTTATATAACATTGTATAAACCAAACTTGCATAAATGCTGCATCAAGAGATGAAAACCCTCAAATTTGCTTCAGATGCTGGATTTTCATTACATTTTCATGAAGAAGAAGTAGTTTAAATTTTTTATGTAGGTCTATTTCAAAGTATCAGATCAAAATTGCTTTTAAAAATATTTTCATTTTTGGAATGTATACTTCTTGTTGGTTAATTGTGTGACTTTGCCTTACTTAAAGACAACATTCGTTGAGGTGAGCTCTGTAATCTCTGATTACCTATGTTTTAGTAATGGATATGAACCAATCATTAAATTTACACAATCGTTTTATACATTTATTATTCTATAATAAACTTTTCAAAATGTGCAATCTGCATGTAAACATTTATGTGTGCCAAATGATCTCCCATCATTTCAAACCTTTAACAGCTGTGTCATTTTTGTCAGCTAGGGTTCATTTTTTAATGCTGGAAAACTTTTTCCCCATGATTAATTACAAATTAATGAAGAATTTTCCATGTATTCAAGGTTACATCTACAAGAAAATATAATATTTACACTCACCTGACAAAGGTTTTTTGTTTGTTTAACATTCTTTTTGAAAATATTTCACTTAATTTGAGATACCACCACTTGCCATTGATCAGCAAATTGAACCCTCCTACACGTAGCTATTATTTTTTGTGTCATGTATGTACACTGTTCATGTATTATTTGCAACTGTCTCTTTATAAGTAAGATATGTTGTGCAATTTTATTGTATCTTGACTACACATGTAGGGTTTAAAAGGTCATTTTTTGATCTGAAGAACTTCTCAAATCTGGGGAATTAGAGAAAATCAGAATTCTTCCCTATACATTCATTTAATGAAGAAACAGCCCAACAGTAAAGCATTTTGAACATAAATATGTTGAATGCCAGGAATGTGTCTAAAATAATTGGTGGTGCCATTACTTATTATTAAATATATATTTGAAATTTGACATCTGGAGCCCTATACATATAGTGTTATTTTTTTAACAATGTCACCATATTTCAAATTGTAGAGATATCCAGGGTTTACTGTTCTTTGTTGTAATAGTTTGAAACATTTTTAGTTATTTAAATCAATTTTTACCCCTGCATCACCAAAGAAAATTTGTCTGTTGTATTCATGGGTTGACACACCTCTATTTCATGCAGAGTAAAAGTACTGATTTGATTTGACCTAAGTTTGAAAATGATGAGTGTCATATGGTATCATTATTTTTTTTTTTATAAATTTATGTTTCAATTATGGACTGTTTTTTTTTCTTTCAAAACACTCTTTACAACTTGTTACAAAAGCTTTATTTACCTGGTAATATCAAGTGGTTCAAATTTAATTTTTATGAATTTGCTAAATTTATTACCATTACACGCTGAGTTTGGACTTTCAGTAAGGCGTGGCATTCTCGACGTTACCTAGTAATTAGCTTCTGAAATTTACACAGCTTTCCTTCACTGTTGAAATATACATATGATAGAAATGCGGCCGAATGTCAATTGGTGTAGTAAATAGCCAATTAAAAGTTCCCTCACGACACAGAGTTGGGGCATAAGTCGTCTCATCATTATCAACAACAATTTTAAGTTCCTGATGTTATTAATTTCTTAACCAATGAGAATCTACTTGTATTCGCCATTATGTAGCGCAGAGAATGCCGTGCCTTACTGAAAGTCCAAAGTAAGGGTAAAATTGTCCTAATTTATTTTTACTGAACTATACATGTTAACCTAGTCATAGAGGAGATCGCAGATATTAGTTAATTAAAAGAAAAAAAAAGAAAAACTACTGTTTTAAATTTAAGAATTTATGCAAGTGTAAATGAATGTTTTATTTTGGAGTTTATTGATACATGTATATCTGTATGTTCAATTTGAGACCTTTTAATATATGGATGGAAAACTGAATTAATACTTTTTCAATCTACAAGATTTAGCTTCAGGACTACATATTAACCTTATATTATAACTATACATATGACATATGTATTACAGTGTACTAATTGTGTGTTTATTTGTGAAGTAGTCAGTGTTCCCAGTGTGTGATGTATGGCATCAACTACCAGGGTATATGATTTTCATTGTTCTAATCTTTGATACTCTGGACAAACATTTAATTTTTCTATAATTTTCCTTAATTAAATTAAAGATTGAAGATGAATATTTTTACTTATTTTTAATGCAACAAAATGGGAATGCACAAACAAAGAAAAAGATTATCAACAAATATCAAATATATTCAATGACATTAAATACTAGTAAAGTAACAACATTGCACAAGCTGAATAAACAAAAAAGACTAGACAACAATTTCAGAGTATTTGGCAATATGATATCTTGATTAATACTGGTAAATCATCTATTTCTCAGGCAAGTGCCTTCTCTTCTGTTTAAATTAGAAAGGCTTGACATAAACAAGACCCATCCCAATTGAGACTGAAGAGTAGAAAATAACTGTCATACCAATTTATTTACTGAATGACCTTTGTATCCCCTGATAGAAGACTAACTATATTTCACTATATTTCATTCTATGTACTGAATGACCTTGAAATCCCCTTACAGAAGCCCTACTTTATATTTAATATACTGAATGACCTTGACATCCCTAAACAGAAGCCCCACTCATTATTTGATTTAATAATACTGAATGACCTTGACATTCTCTAACAGAAGTCCCACTCTTTATTTTATTTAATATACTGAATGACCTTGACTTTAATATTCCTTGACAGAAGCCCCACTCTAGATCTATATTTTATTTAATAGACCGAATGACCTTGACATCCCCTGATAGAAGCCCCACTCTATATTTTATTTAATATACTGAATGACTTTGACATTAATATTCCTTGACAGAATCCCCACTCTATACTTTCTTTAATTTAATATACTGAATGACCTTGACATTCCCTGACAGAAGCCCCACTTTAAATTTGATTTAATGTACTGAATGACCTTGACATCCCCTGATAGAAGCCTCACTCTTTATTTTATTTAATGTACTGAATGACCTTGACATCTCCTGGCAGTAGGCCCACCTTATATTTTATAAACTGAATGATCTTGATATCCTGGACAAATGTTTCATTCTATATTTCATTTAATATAATACTGATTTCATAATTTCATTTGATATACTGAATGACCTTGACATCCCCTGACAGAAGCCCCACCCACAGCCTCCCCTGGGTGTCCACACTTAGTCCTATTGGTTTCTCCAGTAAACTGTCCTCTACGTATCGCAGCATCTGTCCGTTCTGGTCGAGGATGTGGAGACTATTGTTGCGTGCATCGGCCACGATGATCTGACCCAGGGAATCGGTGGCTATCTGTCTAGGACTGAAATGGAAGTCCTTCCTAATTTGTTTGCCATCATATCGGAATCGGATTTTCCCTGAATTGTCCATTACAACCAGGTTGTCTGAATTTTGATCAGAGGCACATATGTCACCATTGTTGTTCTCCTCTACATAAAGAGCATATTCTCCTCCTTTGAAGATTGGGCTTCCATGTTCATCTTTATTAATTTCTTGCTTAAGTTTAGATCCTTCATAGCGGGCAATTTTGCGACTTTGAAAGTCAGTGGTTCCTAGACTGACAAGGATGTCCCCAGACCTTGTACAACACAGACCATCAGGATGCCAACCCTCTGGTGTTGTGAACAGGGTTTCTGTCTTCCAATGTTTATTAACAATATTCACAGTTTTATTATGACCATCACAGTAAAGAAGTTCACCATGTTCGTTCACTGCGATGTCATTTGGAGCGATGGGACAGGTTGTGGTGGCTGCATCCCGCTCTGATCCGTGAACGTCAAAACACCGCACCGCTTTGTCTTCACCACTAACCCAGGCCTCGTCTGCTCCAACACACTCCAGACCTCTCAAGTTCTTCATCTTAGTTGGAATACTGGCAACCACTGTAGCTTTCTCTGACAATGCTTTGAGGGCACCTGTCGAGACATCGTCAGTTTGACTTGTATGTGTTATCTGGGTCAGTGAAGCCTTGAAGTCCCCCAACTCTATACTGAGTTCTGTCCCTTTGTTTGTTATGGTATTCAGTTCGTGAATTGTGATATCAATGATTGGAGGGATTTCCTGGAATTCGTGTAATCGAGATTTATGATCTGTTAGAGCAGAGGCACTATAGTTCTTCAGAATCTCTTGGTTCTTTTCGATCGTTTGGAACATATTTGGAAGCATACTTCTTAGCTTGGATTGGTGGATTTTCAATGCTGTTATATGTTTGTCAGTCATGAATTTTATTTTTGATAACATTTTGTCAAAAACTTCATCTACCTCTTGGTGCCAGAGTTTTCTGTGAACTTCGACTTCTTTTCTCAGTTCAGCACACCTTGCTTCTGACTCCAGAATATTGCTCTTGCTCTTCTCCTTCTCCTCTCTAAATTTAGGGATAATGACTGATTGTATCTCATGCGTCTCTTGTTCAATTTCAGCTTTCTTTTTCTCAATAGCCTCTGCCATTTCCAACACTGGGTGGGATGTGTGATTACCCAGAATGCATTTGATGCAGACGTTGACATCACACTGTTTACAATGGGCCTCACACCTTTGACCTTGGTGTGAAGGACAGGGAGTAAAAATAACTTCGTGTTTTCTGTCCTTGAAGGGAACAATATCATGAGTTTGGGCCTTGAGTTTCTCCACATGTTCACTGACACAGTCAGTACATAAAGATGTCTGACAGTCATTACAGAAATGCTGGAGTGAAGGATGAGAGCAAAGGTCACAGGAAATGACCTCTTGTTCCTCAGGGTCAACACTACTCATATCTGAAAGTAAGAAAGAAAAAATTCAGAATATAATTTGAATTTCTCAAGAATATATATTTTAAATGACTTTTGAATCTTTCTTCTTTTGCACACTTTGAAATAAAGGCCATACATGATGAGGTCTGAAATGGGCTAAGCTTTAAACTTAAATTGAAATCAGGACAGATGTTTAATTTAACTTTTATCAAAATTCATGAATTTCTTATGACTTTATAAAGTCATTTTAATAGAATCAAAATAAATAAATTTGACTGTATCTATCTTATTTTTTCATTCCACATGTTCAAAGATTCACAATAATCATGATGATAATGATATAATTTCAAGAGACAAAAAATTGTTCAGACTAATAAGGATTGACATTGAAAGGTAGGGTTTTAAACAAAATAAACAGTTCACAATTTGTTTTAAATTTAAACAAATGGATATTTAAATAATATTTTATAATAAAAGCCTTGAAGTGTAAAGTTATAACGACTGTTTAATTAATTTTTCTTTATTTTCCTTAATTTATTTAGTCTGTCAAGACTAGCTTTCTTTAGCTTTTTTTTTCTTGTAATAATATTTTTTATTTATCCGTAACATCGACTTTTCATCTCGTTATTTTGACTTTTATCTTATTAAGACGACATTTTTTTCTTTTCTAAATTTGACTCTTCTAGGATTTCAAAATTTATATACAACAAAATCAGTCCAAAATATAGACTAATCTAGACATTTGTATATTTTTTACACTCTCTTTCTCTCATAGCTTAGGTCTTTATAAGTATAAATCATAACATTTGTTCCATATTTACAATTTAATAACGTACATGTATCACATTGCCATCATGCATGAGTCCTTGATCTGCAGTATACATGTATACCTTCGCTTGTTAAATGTTTGAAGAAAAAGGCTAAAGCCACTATTCTAAACATAGCAACTGATAAAATCATCGTCGAAACCCCCAGTTTTTTTTTTCTCTGTAATACACTGACGATGCTGATAAAATATTATAACCTGCGTATCAGCTGGGCAATTTAATGGAAATTAATTTAAAAATAATTTAAAAATCAATTATGAGAAAAAGGATTTTTATATCTGACTTACTTCAATTTGTACTTCTTACTTAATACAGATAATTTTGGAAAACTGAATAGTCGAAAGTAAAGCAAAGTAGTCAAACCATTTGTTTGATCTATTTATTAGCCCTCCTTAAAAGAAAAATAAATGATACGAATTTTTTTTAACTTTTTAAAAAAGTCACTAGTTAAACTCGGGTTTTCTCATCTCTTTAACATGTTTAAAACAATAAAACAAAATAAATTGATTAACGTAGAAGTTTAGTTGATCTGTGTGCGACTGCATAATTTAAAAATGAATATGTTAAGTGCGTAAATTTAAATGATTTCAGGTCAGGTCAGGACAAAGGGATTTGTTACGCATACATACCTCAGTGTTCCTAAAATATCCCTCAGCTAACACATGGGCTCATTTAATCCCAATACAGTATATATAGAGTTTCAATGTAAACTAAAACACACATGCAACCAGAAAACAAATCTTCAATTACCCTAAATTCACATATTGTATAAAATGTGAAGAAGAATGTGAAGAAGCATGACGCTTTGAGGAAAGGTCACAGCACAAAGTTTTCCACATGCGCTTAGCATATTTTAATTCGTCATTGATTTATTTAATTAGAGTAGAGGGCACACAAATTAATAAAGATCACCGAAATAAAGGCCATACCTTTGAAGTGAAAATTAATATGGATCCTCACTCTGTATATCACAGGCAAAACTGCATGGACCGTGTGATAAAGGGTGTTTACTATCATGAACTGATAATAAAGGACCCACACTTCCTTCTTTGAAATGTAAAATTTGTAAAAATCAAAACCCAAACAGACAATTAGCTAAACCGGAATTAAGAGTTTTCTATCTTTCTCTCATTTTTGTCTCTCTGAAGTTATAAGGTTCTCCTGTCTTGTAAGATATTTTTATGAATTCTTTCGTTTAAGGGGGTTTCTTATACTTCCCCTTCCTGATGACCAAGTGCATATATCTGTGTATATGCCCTAGACATGAATTGAGCGCCTTACCTTACCTATAAAATAATTTTTTAAGGTAGTCCGATCCACAGGTTTTCAAAATCGGGTACTGAATAATCGAAAATGCTCACAAAGATGTCTAAATTCTCAAAGAAATGTATTTTATTTTACCATCGGTGTTTTTTGAAACTTCATCTGTAGTGAAAATAAGTAAATCTCAAAACAATAAATTTCCAGGAAATGCGAATAGAACTTTCTGATTGAAAATTGATCAATAAATACATTTTAGGAATAAAAATCATAGGTAATCGGGCTTTAAAAAAAGGCATGATTTTTATAAATATTCGGTACTTTAGTTTCACCTATTTACTCCTATCATTTTATTATGCATATAGTGTATGGAGTGTTTCCATTCATAGAAAACACAATTAATCACTTCTAATTTCATATCATGCTGATAAACATTAGTAACTAAGGTTAGATTAAAAAAAAAGAATTCTTTAAATATATAAGTTATACTCACTTTTATGCTCAAGGTACAATACTAACTTTTTAAATACCATTCCTAAAAACTTTTTTTTTTTAAATACCTCGAATCACATTGAGATGCATAAAATAAAAAATGCAATTTCAATTTCAAATTTCAAGCTTCATTTTGAGACTTTTAAAATTAAGTTATCCTTCCTGGCTGAGGATCGGATATCCTCAAGCATTTATATAAATTCAAACAGTATAGTTTTAGTTAGACAGTCATATGAGGTAATTCAAAAGGATGTTTAGTTTGAGAATCTATATTAAAATGATTTTTTTTTTCAATTGAGAGTACTGTTTGAAATATTCATTATGAATGCCTTATCTTATATTCCGTTTTGAATCATCTCACACGACTGCTTAACCGAGCTAGGCCCGTAGGAAGCAACTTCAAAGGGGGAGGGGGCACAGTCATGTATTTTCAGTTGGGGGACAGTATCAACCACCAAATATTCCTTGACAAACATGAAAAGGGGGGGCATCAGACGTTTTTATTGAGGATATATCTAAAGCTCTATGTTTTCTTTTAGTATACTATATTTCGGCAAAATTATCGTGGGTGCACATCCCCCCGGTTCCTACATGTACGACAATGAAATCTGTGTTTCAATTTGAATTATCTCGTATGGATATCGAAGTAAACTACTGTTTGAATAAGGCCCGCCATTAATAGTTGTATTAACCTAAACTGCAGTCTGACAGTTCTCATTTTTACATAATCTCGGTTGACTGTATACAGGCAGGGATTCAAAAAAAAAAATTCCAGGTTGGGTCCACCCCAATCAAAAATAAATTTTAAAAAACGTTTCTCAAACCTGAAAAATCTATTTCAGGAGGAGGGGGTAGCCTTTGACTTTTAAGCTTCAGACCTTTGACTTTTCATACCAACTTAAATAATATAAATTTGCGTTTCAGAGTAGGGGTCCGCGATGACCTCGTATATATACATTTTAAAACTCTGCAAATTTCAGGAAGGGTTGCACCTCCCATCTAGATCCGCACATGGCATTACATAGAATCTCATTAATATAAACAGTAGTTTGGTTCATCCAAACAGTAGTTCAAGTTATGCAGAGCATAAGAGATAAATCAAACAGTAGTTTTAGTTTACATTTATATAGGTATTCAGGTATTCAAATCATGAGAAAATTTATAGGGTGGTCACATATATGAGATCTGATTCAACAATATTTGGAGTGAAGTTGTTTTAGGAGATAATTCAAACAGTTGTGTAGGTATATCGGTACTATCCTGATAAATCTTGCTGTAGTGTAGGCATGACTGGAATAATGTTATGCTCTCCAACTTAGTTTAGAAGAAAACAAAGGCACCATGCAAAGTGGAGCACCCTCCTCACAGAGAGCCTATCTATTAATCAAGGAAATTTTGACATTGACCCTGACAAAAATTACATCACTTCCATTTTACACAATGGACAAACTAAAACACATACTCATGGGTTTACTATATCCCTTCCAAACCTATTGCAAAATAATGAAATAAAGAGGGCTACACATAACTTTCCACTCTACGCAACTGCCTTTTGCTGCACACAGAAACTCCTTACAAAATAGAACTCTGGCATGTTAATTCTTTGCAACACAATTAAGTTTTGTTTGTAGTAAATTGACAAGTCTACATACTGATCCTAGTATTTTATTGCAGATCTTTAACAAAACACATAGTCTGGCCTGTAACAATCGTAGATACATGATTAAAATGACTTTCTCTGGAATTAAAACTACTTCAATTTGATTAGAAGACAACAATGATGACCAATCTGTCTGAGAATATTTACTTTAAACTTTTTATATATAAGAATTATTTAGTAAATGATTTTGTTTTTAATACATTAAATTTACATGCAGTCAATACAATGTACTTCTCATAGTCCTGAAAATATTATAGACTAACTTATATCTACCAAGATGATATGTGTAAGCCCATATTTTTCTTATAAAGATTTAAAGCGACAAACACACTGGAACCAAGATAAAGGAAGTCTAGAAAATTCTGTCATGTTTTTAAAAAAAATTATCACAGTCTTACACCATTACTTACTAAGATGGATGCTTCATCCAAGCAAACTAAAATATATCATATTAAATAAAATTTGAAATAAATTAAAATATATTACTGAAATCCATTCCATTGGTACTACCATAACAAAATATTTTATACATGTACAAATTGAGAAAATAGTTAAAATAGCAAAAGTTGATCCAAGTTTTAGTTGTTCTTGCATAGTACAACCTTTTTTTTAAAATGACTTTATAATGAATAAATACAATAAAGCATCTAATTTACAAATCAAGGTTTAGAAAACATCAAGTCAACAACTTCAAACATTCACATCTTATTATAATATCTTCATGGTAATTTGTTTTTAAGCACAAGTTGTGCATGCACATATAAAGTTAGAGGAAAACCCAGTGTTTCAGCAAAGTAAAAAAAAAAAGTTACCCGTGAAATCAAACACTTACAATTCATGCAGAACACATCTAAGTCTCGCACAGTTGCTACAAGCAACCAGATTACTAATCATTGCCTTTGATATGAACACCCATTAGAAAATGACTATATATTAGAATACTGAATACATATGGTGTACATTGATTACAATCTTTCTGTACATGGAATGGCTTCATGTGGAGACAGGCACAGCCTTAAAGGCACCACCAAATGGCACCACCACTTTACCATATACCACTTCCACAATCTGTGACCAGGCTTTGGCAGCATATTAATTAATATCTGTACAGATCAAATCACTTGACACAATACATAGGTTATATATATACCAATGCTCATATATAAGCTGAAAAAAAATAACACTGGTAAAAAATGCAGCTTTTTAAAAACACGATGATTTACATGTATAAGCAATGCTGTCTACCAGACGAGATATCACAGAAACGTTTTGTAGCTTTGAAATAAGTCCTTAAGCTTCATCCCTCATCTCCTCTTTGTGCACCAGTTTAGGGAGAATTTCCTTCAGGGTAGATATGAAGCTTTCGGGGTATTTAGCATGCCCCTACGTCTGGTATCAGCTGATCTGTTCTGGTACTGGCGTCTCTCAGGAAATCTCACTTCTTTTCCTTGAGGATTCAAGTTAGCACTACAAAGCAAAAAATGCAATATCACAGTCAGGTTGCTTTTGAAAATCATAAAAATATTGTAAATGCCTAGAGAATTTCACAGAATAATTTGCTTGAAGATATTTTGTATGAAGATCAGTTTAACTCAAATCATTAAATGATAAATCAATTATTTTATTATAGATATAATTAATGAAAATGTCACATCCTCTTTCTGTCTTTATAAAATAAATATGTATGGAGTTTGTGCAAAATGTCTCCTCTTGAAGAAATATACTTGCTTTTGGTATTACAAGTATTACATAATTACATGCTTTCCTCTTACATTTAAAAAGTCCTTTAGCATTCTCATTAGATAAGAAATTCAAGAAAGCAACAGAATTTAAAAAGAATGATGAACAAATTAAGTTAAGCAGCTACTGAATAATTCAGAATAAAATATTAAGCTGGTTATCATTACCACTCAAAACCTAGGAGTAAGTGTTTGAATATTTTGAACTTTTCTAAAAATATCAAAAGTAGCAAATGCATAGATGTTATGTTTGCATGAAACTTTATATTTAAACCAAGAGATGTTTGTTAAACACTTATGCCCCCTCCCCAAAATAATTGGAATTTTTCTAAGCCCAAGGGGCATAACTCTGTCAAAAATAGTTTAATCGTATCCAAAACAGAATTTGATCTAGATATTCTTCTGATAAATCTGTATACCAAATTTCAATTCAGTATGTGCAACAGTTGTGAAGAAAATGAACAGAATCTTCATAGACCGACAGACTGACTGACCGACCGACAGACAACAGCAAAGCAATATGCCCTCCGTTGTTCAAAGGGGGGCATAAAAATCACTAAATTAAAACCCGAAATGGTAAGAGCTACAAATACACAAATTAATTGAAACAATTTTCCACTTCCACAGACAATATGATTTTCAGTCTATCTAAAATTAGCCCCAACATTTAATTATCTGTTTTTCGACTCAATGAGTTTTATTATTTGTTTTGCCATATACCTAGGGTCTAATTTTAATATGACTGAATGATTTTGTACTCTGATAATTAACATGCATTATGTATCTGCAGGCAGACATACAAATCTAATAAGACATAGAATTTTATCTGTAAATGATTGGATATAAGAAATAAAAAGATAATTACACATCATACGTACTGCTACTCCCAGTACAAGGTGGAAAAGAGAAACAAGTCTACAATTCATTACTGGTATGTGTACAACGTACAGTCAAACAGAGAACAATCAATTATAATGAAATTGATTTGTCACCAGGTTAAGGCACACACTGCCAACAAAATTTTTGGAGCCAATCATTTCACACCCTTAGCCGCATTTTTTATTCATTCATGTAACAAATAATTTAATGAGCATGCCTTAAGAACTCACAGAGTTATTTCCCCTTATTTTCAAAGATTTCTTTGTTTATATATAAATGCTTTTGAATGCAGCTAGACACCTCTGAATCATCAATAAGGGGGCATAAAAAAAACAAAATATAGACAAAAGCAGTATCTACACTTGGATTTCAAATTTAAGGTATACTAATCACTCAAGTTGTCAAAAATACAAGGAAAGAATTTGGTCAAATGATAGAATATTCTAAACTAAACAGACTTCACCTAACTTAATATGGACATCCCTCCACAATGAAGCATGTTACTTTCAAAAAGAATTCTTATATTATAGAATGTTCAAAAAGATGGAAATTGATCCAAACAGTTCTAGTTCAGTAAACATGGTTATAACAAACACACCTTGAGCGAAGTAATTTTTATTCCCCATGGCTTTAAAATACTAGTATATTTTGAATGTAAAGGATATAACAAAGTACATTTTTAAAGAAGTATAATCATATGTCCATGCAACTTTTTATAAGTATTGGTACATGTAAATGGAAAATGAAAATGTTTTCAAAAAACTGAATTGAAAGTTCTAAATTACATGTAAAAAGAAATTTGTTTTCAAAGAATTTTGAGATTTAACAATTCAATCTAAGTTTGCACATCAGTTTTATAAAATTAATTTTACTGGTAAGAAGTTATTAAGTCAGGGCATTCCTCCACCATCAATCCCCCCCCCCCCAAGTGTACACGGGTATTCTGTAATTGTTTTACAAATGTAAATACATGAAATTAAATTCTTGCAAAATAGCATGTGGTATCTCTTGCCAAATCTATGTTCTTCTGCATTAGGTAATTAAAATCACTGAGTTATGTGTTATTATGGCTATAAAATAACTAACTTCATACTCTTGTAAATTAGCTCAAGGTATTAGTATTGACTTCAGACAAGCATTATTTACAGCAATTACCTATAACTCCCCGTGGACAGTGACCTACATGTACTGTTACCATGGTTACAATACAAACCAGTGACCTGACCTTCACCTCTAGCAGTATAGGACTAAGCATAGGAGAGAGAGAGTGCTGTTGCTGGCAACCATTCCTCCATTTACTTTTCTCATCATGTATATATACTTTTTGATAAAATATTTCATTTTTCAAAAAAATTTCTTCCATGAAAATATATTCTGATACATATCAATTTACTAAAAATAATGTGAATCCAATGAAGATAGTTATGCTTTTTCTTTAATTTCCTTGATGATGTTGAATTAAAAAGATTAATTCTGATACATAGTGCTTCTGCATATTTGACATTTCATGATATAGCTGTACACATATCTATAGTAACAATCATTTAAAACAAAGTTTCAAACTTTTCATTCCTATCATTTCATACGAAGACTTGCATCTGATTAATAAAGCAATCATGCACCTTGAAGATGGAGATTATGAAAATATTTTTAAAATAAATTATGAAAGAAAGAATGTATTTGAGGATTAAGTAAAGAGAATGCCAGATATAAGATAATTAAAAGTTTTCATAAAGGAGGTATGGTTGCCAAGCATTCCTAAGCAATCATGTCGATTTGACAAACTCACCGCAAACAGGCGACTAATAATCACGCCTGTAGTTATGGTGATAAGACCTCACGCCCCCGGGCCGCTCGTCAGGATAAGAGTTGTGGGAGTGACTTACTTTGGACGCCGTCTTACTCCGCCCTCTTCCACCCCCATCTTGCCGCCTAAGACTTCGTCTCTCCCGATCAAACTCTAGATCCTCCAGCCTCTGGGTCAGCGTCAGTTTCTGCTGGATCGCCATTCGTAGGAGCGAGTTCAGGGTTTTCTTCTCCTCCTCTGCGCTGATTAGTTGGCGCTGTTGCTCGTCCAGTTGTGTGACATACTCGTCACATCTTTGGGCAAAAATGGCTCTTAATGAGGCAAATGTTGCGGCATCTTCCTTGAGTGCCTTCAGTTCATTTCTTAGTTTCATCATAGTTTCTGTCACTATCACTTTCTCATTCTCGTACTTCTGTTTGAGATTAGCTAGAGCAATTTCAGCTGTTGATTTGTTGGCCTTAAGAACACTTCTGAGTGTGGCTATTTGTTCTCTCTTTGTGGACAACATGGCTTTGAGTTTCACAATCTGTTCTTGTAATTCTAGAACATCAGAACTTTCTGAGTCATCTCCACGTTGTCTAGATACCTCCATGAGATGTTCCACAGCTCTCCTGAGATACTTGACTTGATCAATGATTGTCTCAGTAAGTTTATAACAGGAGATAGGATCACCCTTAATCTCACTACCAGAAATGTCTTTTTTGGATTTTGATTTTTTAGTGGTCTTTGGTGAGGTTTCATCTTGGTTTTCACTTTCTTTTTCTTCACCATTCTCCTGTCGTGAGAGTTGTGAGGATGCCTTTGCATGGTCTAACATAACCCTGCTAGGCGTTTCTCCAGTAACCTCACACACAAGATGATAAAGCTGGGCTAGCTCCTCAGTGGTCCTGACTAACTCGTCCTGTGTGGTATTTAGACTTCCCTGAGCTTCCCCAGCGGCTAGTGTCATTGTCTTCAGATCCTTCTCCAAATCCTTGATCAGCTCCTCATAATGGTTACACTTACTTCTTAAGTCATCAATTGCACTGTCAAACTCCTTGTTTCCCTGCATAGACCCACTGTGCCCTTTCTCCTGCAGCTTGCTGATCTCGCTCTGTAAGTGAGTAATCTCAGATAAAGCTGTTGAGTATTTCTGCTCATTGGAAACTAAATTTTTCTTCATCTCCAGCAGAGCCTTCTTTTCTGGATCAGTCTCCTTGGCGATAAGGTCATCAAGCGAGTCGTCCACACCCGGAGACTCAGGTGAGCTGATTACTGAGGATATCTGAGCTTTGAGTTGATCGGCTCTGCTCTTTTGCTCGATGAGGTCCTTCTGAGTGTCCTCAATGAGTTTCTGAGCCTCCTCTAAAGCATTCTGAAGCTCTGATTTTTCCGATTCACTCTGCTCTAGTAATTGTTCGAGTTTTTTCACTTCGTTCTCCTGTATCTCACTCAGTATATCATTCACCTTTCCTGGCCCCGGTTTCACAGGTGACTTGGTATCATCCTTCTTGAAGTCGGCTTCAATCCGCCTCAGAGCCGGATTCTCGCTATCGTCCTCGTCAGGAGCCACTCCGTTGTCGTGGTTCACAGAGCGTGGTAATCCGTCAGTCAGCCCTCCCAGCTGAGCCAAGTTACTCAGGTTAAACATGGACTCCTGGTTCAGTCTAGTGTCCAGTTCCTTCTTAAGGGCATGTTTCTGCTCTCTTTCATGTTGAAGTGCTGCTATCGCTTCTTCATAATTTTTATCCACGATCTTTTTCAGATTTACAGCATCATCCAACTGCACATTTAGGTCATCAGCCTCTTCCTGGAGTCGCTTCACTTCATGCTTCATGCCTGAAATAATGTGTATGAATAATAAGACACATTATACATCATGCGATCAAAAGACTTATTGGACTTATAGTAATCAATCACAGATCATTCTCAACAGAGTCCATTTATGATAGGTCAGTTGAAATCAAATGATACATGACGAAAAATGTTTGCAAGAAGATATGTTTTCTCATATGATCATACTTTAAAAGATAACATTATCAATTTAAGAACGTATGTCAAAATATGTTGCACTCTTTGGAAAACTCCTTTCTTAGCATTCCTTTAAAATGAGGAAGTCAACAAGGCTAGGGCACTTATGTGAGGTCTTATTTGAGAATTTGAGAAAGTTAAGTTACAATGGTACAGGTGCCCCTGCACTTTTAAGCCTTTCTCCACAGCCTGCACTCCAATGGGCAAAAAAAAGTAGGGGAGAAAGTGAATTTTCTTTACAACATTTGAATTGTAGCATTTAAAACAACAGACCACTAAATTTTCAATAGATACATAATGACGAGAGTTAGTTATTCTTGATAAATTCACATCCTTTTCCCACTTACCCTCAAACTCTACTTGGCTCTGTTTAAGTTGAGAAACCTGCTTCTGCAGCATGATGTTTTCATCTTCAAGTTCGGCATAGTCCGCCAAGTTGCGATTCTCTCGAATCTTGTACTCGCGGATCTCGTTCTTGATCTGCCTGCGCTGCTCCTCCAGACTATCATTGTGCTGTTGACACTCCAGCAGAGCCGCATTCAAACGCTCATTCTCTGAAGAAAAGCGATCGATTGCCTGCTTGCAGGTTTTGAGTTCGGTCTCATACTCAATAAGGGTGGACTTGTAGCTTTCTTCCCTAGAGGCAGCCTCCTGTAGAAAGGTGTCTTCATGGTGGATCCCCGACTTCTGCTGCTTTCGAAAGGTGTCCTGGTGTTTGCTAAGGGCCTACAATAGAAAATAGGCATAAAAATCAAGTTACATCATTGTGGAATGCATCATGGCTGCAAAAACTGTAAGCATTTAGATTTAAGGTTCACTGATACTAAGAGAGACAACTCTTGATACCCTAATAAGAGAGACAACTCTTGCTGGGAAAAATGTCTATTATTCCTTATAAAATTGTCTTCTTCAAGGGTCATTTGGATCTAGAATACAGATTTAAACCATTATCTTTAAATCAAATATGATGACATTTCTGAAAAAAAAAACTGTAATAAATAAGTCGAAAGAAATATTCTATGCAGTGATTTTCTTCAATATTTTAAATTGAAGCCCCTTCTGTGACTTGATCATGACAAATTGTGAAAAATTAAGTTTTTCAATAGACAATAATTGTCATCATTACTCATTGTATCTTAATGTACAAGACAAAATTTATGGTACCCCTTTCTCAGTTTTAGAAGAGAATCATTTTATTGGAAAACATGTTACCTTCTTTACCTATCCTAAAATTTTTGTTACATGTACTACATGAAGTAATTAATATTAGATATACTTCATTAAACCAAATCACAGTTTTTGTTGGTTCAGAAATTACCAGACATCACTCTTAAGATAAATGAAAAGTCTCAAATGATGGATTTTCTTCCTTTCAAAATTGCAACTGCAGAGGTAATCTATATCACTGGGCTAACCAAATTTTCATCACAATTCTAATTTTTAGTTTTCTAAAATCCATAGTTACATAAGTTAACTTCATATTGTCAGCCCAGAGTTCCTTATATAAATCTCTGATCAACAGGAAAAAAGTTTTCTGATAATAAGGAAGGAATGTAATATTGGTTCCTGATTAGCAGGATGATGATAATCCAGATAATTACACACTGTACTTAATTAACATCTCATCAAAACAAACAAAGAATTCTGATGAAGGCCAAGATAGCATACATAGTATTTGAACAGTATCCTTTCCCATTTGTATACCAACCCTAATGCTGTGCAGGGCATAAATATAAGAACCAGTGTATCAAAATAAAGCCAGATCTATGCAAAGTCATGGAAGTAATTCAATTAAAAGGGTAAATTATTTTTATGGTATACATGTCTGTTTCTAATTTAAGAAATCTATATATGTAATTAGGCTAGAGTAAAAACAGTTTTTTACACACTGATATGTCATTGTCAATTATAAACATGTTTAAACATTTTCAGAAGAGCCAATTCATTGACTTTAATATTCATCAGTAGAAAATGTATGTATGGCACTATCCCCACTGTCTCACTCATGTTTATGTATAATTATGAGAGTAGCAGAAGTGTAAATCAATGAGACACCCCCCCCCCCCCACACTCTCAAAAGTACAACACCACTACATCAGTCTCAACAATACTATATACCATAATGATAATTAAACTATCAATTACCCCTCCCTCCCCCACAAACTTATGATCAACATCAAATTCAAATTAGTCATGTACCAGCACTCACAAAATGCCAAATACCACCCCCCCCCCCCCCCCCCCCCCCCCCCCCCAAAAAAAAATAAAGTGCCGCGCCACAGCATGATACGCCCGTCAAAAAATACAATTTTTTGAACAGTTTAGGTGCAAGAAAATCACATCAACCTTGATTCTCAGATTTCGATGATTTTTTCCATTCCTTAAAATATTTATCCATCCCCTGTGATGTAGGCATCAATTATAATAAATATTACAACATTTCTGTGCTGGTTGTGTTATGATCAACATCAAATTCAAAAATTTTAGTCATATATTAGCACTCACAAAATGCCAAATGCCATCAGCAACAGTATCCCCCCCCCCCCCCCCATAAAATTAGTTTTTAAAAAAAAAAAACTTAGGTCTAACAGTTACATTATTTGCAACCACATATTCTCTAAACAATCTGTAATATCCTATTCTTTTTAAGCCCACAATAACAAACCCCCAGTGATGGACTGACGGTGTGGTGAACACCAGTGTGGTAAGATGCATGAGATGGAGATAATCCTTTACAACAAATTAACAGATCATGACATGTGCAGGCTTAATTATCTGCATCAGTGCCTTTCCTTTGTTAGGATTCACTGAAGTTTTTCATCAATTGTAACATTGCTTGTATTCTGAATTAAAAATTACATGTACTGATGTAGGAGTTTTTTTTTATCTCCATCCCTATGAAGAGTTGCATGCAGTGTCTTATATTTGCAGGCTCTCTTTCTTAGATGTAACAGACAGATGTAATAAGATAGAGAAAGCTCAGCTGTTTGATATAAACAGCTGCTGCAAACAATCTTCTCTAATGCATAAATCACATCCAAGCAGGGGTCAAATGTCAGCTGCTCCATGACCTTAAATTACCCTGAATAAAAATCCCCGCCTATAATAGTATTTTGTAAGTTTGTATAAGGTTTAAAAGTTTATGAATATTTCATTTTCGCATTATTTTGTTCTGCAATCAATGCAAGATCTTGCCTAATCAGACAAATCATAAAAACTTGTATTATGTAACTGCAAATTCTGACTGCATTACACTGATGTGGTGTTTAGCCTTCAAAATGCAATTATTGATTCTTTGATGGTCATTGATCAATGCCATATTAGCAGATCTTAAAACTTTTTTATAAGCTCTATAAACTGTGTGTGAAGGACTGCTAAATTCATCTCCCAAAAAACTAGGCGAGTATATAGACATTGCAAGTTTGACTGATGTAAGTGAAAAGATTTTTATCTTTGATGGTCAACAAGTCCACTATAAACTGTGTGTGAAGGATGTCAGTCCCTGATTAAGTAGATTTTTAAGCATAACAACAGACAGGAATGAGAGACTCACAGATGTCACGGGAGATCAAAACACAGCGATCTTGCTGAAAACTTCAAACCTAACCTGACAGCCCAAATGTCTACATGTCCTAAACATGAGCACCGTGACACACCTATATCATACTGTCCCACACCAGAGCACTATGACAGACCTGTATCTACCTGTCCACAGCCAGAGCACTGTGAGTCTGTGACACACCTGTAATTCTACCTGTCCCAAAGGGAGTACATAAAGTTACATCAATTTGCTAAGCTTTCTTTGTCATTTTTAAAAATCAGGAGTTCCAACTTCCAGGGTTTATAAAATTGTCTAAGGGGCCACCTACATCATTTCTTAGTTTACCTTGTGTCAATGTACAGGTGAGTAACAAACAGGTAACACCATTCAAGTGTCATAATTACACTCTTGTTTTTATGTGTATCACAACTAGACAGTCATTATTTACTGATTCATAGTATAATGAAATGTTAAGAGCAATATATACCACTGAACAAGTATGAATGATTTCTCCAAACAGAATTATTATAATGTGTTCAAAACTAGTGATTATACTCTGCATTTACTGTTTATAATTTTTAAAGACAATTACAAAATCTTTATACACCTTATAGAGACTATAGTATCCATACTTTATGTGTATTTGACATTTAAATCATATCATGACATTCAATATGAAAGAAGGGCGAGGCTATGTAATATCTGACCCCTCACTTTGTCAACTCACTGAACACACATGTTACTTAATAGCTAGAGACGTGTTTGTACTGCAGTGAAAGCCTGTGGCATGATAGGACATGCTTGCTGCACACTTAATTACACCTGTCTCTAATTACAGGTGTATTAAATGAGAATTACCTGCAGTTTATAGTCAACAATAATAAGTTTGCAAAAAGAGGAAGAATTACTTCAATTAGCTTCAATTCATTAAAAAAATCTATTTTATATACAATGTATGTTTCTGGAGTTGTGGTGCTTATCCTGTACCTTCTATAAAAATTACAGAAAGTATCAGTGATTGACAAATGTTGCAGCTAAGTTTAGAATGGTGTATCCCTCCAGCACAAACACAACAAATCCTTCATTAAAAGTCATTTATCACACTTATACACTGGATTATATGATGTTTTATGAAAAATATGAGATCCTATATCAATGAAATTTGTCTCATTTCAGAAATATAGGCAAATTTTTTTTAATATTCAGATGCTCCAACTAGTGTACACTTGATTTACAAAAATATTAAAACAATTAACAGTTCAAAACACTTATTTGTAAATAAGTACAGCAAGATCTTTGCGGCAGCCATTAAATAAATTTTCAAAATAAGTGATTCAAACTAAACTGACAATTGTGCATAATCAAACTTAAAAGACATATCCAGCTATAAACAAGTCCAGTACGTGCTTCTGTGATCAAAATTTCACTGTGCTAATCACTCAAGAGTGAGGCTGCATGGTTATGACACTCTTAACACGTATAACAAAGTAATTCCAAATTTCCTCTGACCCAAGTTTGTCCCAAAATCATCTTGACAATAAAAAAAATAGGCATGTCTACTGAATTTCCACAGATTTTCATGAGTTAGGTACTTGTATGCAGGACAAATCTTAATATTTATGAATTCTGGTTAATGCTGACCATATAATATATATTCTTAGAAAATATATTTGTAAATAAAATTTTCACAAGCAGACAGTCTTGTGTTATCTATAACATAAAACTAATTAAAAGTTCTTGGAAATATAAAGTCATTTAGAGTTATCTGCTAAATTAAGTCAGAGGAATTATGGATTACAATGCCAAAATAAACATTTAGTTCATAATTGCAGATTTCAAATAACATGGCAACATCTACTAAAATACACCTTTCCCAAGAGTTTGAATTCAATATCAAAGCATATATTTACCCATGTTACATTTTCCCGCAACTATATTTACAAAGTTTAAGAATGAAATTAAAAAATCAAGAGCAATATGCATTTGAAACTTGGTTGAAATTAATTATTTAATGATATAAAAAAAAACATGATTAACAAATTATCAAAAAACAGCTAGATGCTTTATCGAGCTCAATTTGTTCAATGGCATAAAAAACTGTATTTAAAACTAAGGTTTCAAAAAGCCTTTTTTTTTATTAAAGTTCATCAAACCGGTTTTCTATTCTATTAAGTGTTATACTTATGAGGGACTGGCAGACTGCATTGCTACACAGAAGCCCTGATAAACATAAACAATTTACATGGAGGGATTTTATATATAGTGTACATATGTACAAGATTGAACTGTGATAGTTTATGCACTTAATACGATTTTCAGTCGATAACACTGCTATGATTTTTAAAAAGTTAAACACAAAACATATCAATAAATATACCAAAATAAACTGCACCTAGTAATACCTAAACACATGTTTGAGACAGGCACAGTATTAGTCAACAGGGTAACATAGTCATTTTCTAGGTGACTCAGTGTTATGGGTACGATGTTTCACATGTGGTGAAATTTCATACAAACTATACACATACAAAAATCATACAAACTGTGATTGAAAATGTAAGGCTTTGATACAAGTTACAAATATCTCGTTATAAATGTCATGGCATTATAATATAATGTAAAGGAATACTTCAGTACTGATGCCGGCTGTGTTTAGGTTTGATTGCATGCTTCATACAGTAAGCCGACATCATGCTTATGATACACATATCAACATGGTCAACAAAATTGGTAAAAAGATCAAAGGCGATTATTTACCTCTTTGGCACAATCGAGCTCGTGTTTTACGGCTTCATACTGCGCCTCTACCTCCTCTATCTGCTGTCGAAGGCGTTCTTTCTCCTCTAGAACGGCAAGACCGTATTCTGCAGCCTGCACCTTCTCCTGGGTCGTTTCTTGTAACTCGGTCTGCAGACGTTCAAGTTCCCTCCGAAGTTCATCAGGAGTGAGGTCACTGGTATTTATTTCCGACATGTTGTTTTAGAGGCCAATTTCTCTTCTTCATATGGACGAAATTTTGGAAGAAAGTCTCACAAGGGCAGGTTTTCGTTCAGCAAGTCGCCATCTTAATTTATGCAGTTATGCGTGTCACGTGACAACGGGCAATTCTATTTTTAATCAGTGATGGAGCTAAAATACGAAAAACACCAATAAATGACTGCTTCTGCTACAATCGGAATACATATTTGCCTTTTATCCATTTTTATAGTTTATATATAATAATAACAGAGCGTTTTCTGGAGTTATATTGGTAATATCATACAACTTTTCGTTCCCTCATAAGATTTGGAGGTTTATTTGAGAAAGTTCTCTTTATTCACTGTCTGATGAAAAGTTTTTCGACTTCGATATTTACAAAAAAGGTATTTTACAATGAACAAATCCCCACTTTCTTGAAAGCGAGGGAACATTATATCTGTCCGTTCGTCACAAAAAAGAAATTAACCTTGGTCATAATTTTTGAAGGAGAAGAGATAGGCCTACCCATGACAGGACGTTTTCAAAAATACTTTAATTTTTGACCCCGTTACCTTGATCTTGATGTTTGGCCTGCTTTTCAAAAAAAAAAAAAATAGCATTACTTTACATTGGCCATAACTTTTGACTAGTAAAAAGTAGAGCTATCGATTTTACACATGTGTATCACCTGTGACAATACTTTTCTTAATACACTATTCTTTTTTACCCCGTGAACTTGACCTTGAAGTTTGACCTACTTTTCAAAAACTCAAACTTTTGAATGAGAAGAGATAGGACTTTCATTTTTCACAAGTATATTACGTGTGATTTACCATTCTTAAATACACCATGTTTTTTTACCCTGTGACCTTGAAGTTTGACCTACTTTTCAAAATCGTTATCTTTCCGTGTAACTTGTGATAGAGAAGAAATAGGGCTTTTATATTTGACATATGAACATTGAACATTTTTTTGAAAAACTTTTACCTTGACCATCACTTATTTTGAACGGATAGGGCTAAGGCTTTCATAATTCACATATGTTATTGCCAGTCTACAAAAGACATCAAGGGACGGTGCTTCAGGTGATTATATTTGACCTGTATTATGCATTATGTATGACAACATATATCAGAGCATGCTATGACTTCTGATCCCTTGACCTTCACAACTGACCTAATTTTAAAAAAAAACATTTTTGGTGATTACTTCGATCTGACTATTACATATGATAGGGGGTTCCTATTGACACAATATGCCATAAAAAATTACATCTCTTGCACCCTGAAAGACACAGAAATTAAAACAAAGGAAAAATAAAGTAGCACTTAAACTTGAAACTTTGCAACAAAAATAAGTAGAAGCCCCCCGCTTTTCGTGGGTAATTTTTGTGCATGGGTAAGGTCTCAATATGTCATATATGAACGCCCTATCATATGTCATTCAAAAGTTATCACTAAAGTTGAATTTGTGCAAGTCAAGATCAAAGGGTCAAGAATAATAGCATGCTAGGAAATATCTTGTCACAGATAATACACATGTAAAATATAAAATTAAAGCCCTACTTCTTCTCTATCAAAAGTTATAAGGAAAAAAATAATATTTTTAAAAAGCAAGTCAAATGTAAAGATCAAACTAACGGGGTCAAAAATTAAAATGTATTTAGATAGGTCTTGTCACAAGTAATATATACAAATGAAAGGTTAAAGCTAGCCCTAAATCTTAATTCTCATCCAAAAGTTATGACCATATTTAAAGTTAAAGATTTTGAAAAGGAGGTAAAACTTCACGGTGATGGTCATCAGGGTAAAAAATATAGTGTATTTAAAAATGTCTGGTCACAGGCAAAACACACATGAATAGTATGAAAGCCCTATCTCTTCTCATTCAAAAGATAAGTTTCAAGTTTTTGTGACAGACGGACAGACTGATATACTTAACAGTCTGACTGACAGACGGATAAGATTTAATGTCCCCTCACTTTCCCTTTCGGAGGAAGGGGGAGGGAGGGGGTGTCTATAGATATGCCCCCTCTTTTCCAGACATAAGTTTTTCCTATAGGAAATGTTTATTGAAAGTCCAGTTGCCCACCCAACCCCCACTTTTGGTTGCAGTATAATTGTCAAATAATTTGGGTAATATACGGGTAATGCAGTGTTTCAGTAAAAAAAAAATTTGGTACTAAAAGAAATTTAGCCTACATTACACCCTTCCCCTTACTCCAAATAGGATTTTTGAGTTGTTTCTTTTTTTTTTTTTTTTTTTTTTTTTTTGCTTGTCAAGATTTTTCAGATAAGTTTTTTCTGTATTGCACACATATTAGCGAGTACAAACATACATGTTTCTCAATCTTGTATCTTTATTATTCAGATCATCATAACTTCTAACTTAAACATATTAAGGTAGTCCGATCCTCAGGTTTATAAATTAACATTTAAGTAATCAAAAATACTCATAAAAGTATCTTTGAATCCACAAAGTTATGTAAATTTATCCACAGTATTTCTTTAAAGTTAAAAATGAAAGTTGATCATATTATATAGGGAAAATTGTCAAATCTCCAATATTTTTGCAGAAAAAACAAATTGGAAAACCAACAATGCATTTTCTAATTCCCAATTAATCAACAAATATATTTTAAGTTAAAAAACGATAGGTATCCAGGCATTCAGAGAAATTGCTATGATTTTAATGCTTATTTGGTATTTTTTTGTCTTCTATTTCCGTCATGTATTCTATAATGCATAGTGTAAAAGGCATTTGCTATCATTGCAAGACACCACAAATCACTTTTTATTGCATATCATGCTAATAAGCATTGATATCTAAGGCAGGATTCAAGAAAATCTTATTTCTCTTAAACTGTATTATTTTTTTTTCCTTTTATAGGGTACAAATGTCAACTTTTATGAGACCCTCTCTAAGACCTCCAAAAAACTTGAATCTTATAAAGACGAATAAAATGAAAATTGTTGCATGAAAAAATGTCATTTTCAAGCTTCATTTTGATGCATTTCAAATAATATATTAATTTTTGGAATTATCCTTCCTGGCTGAGGATCGGATATCCTTAATGTTTCCATTTTTTAGTATAATTCTAAGGTATTTACAAATGTAACATTTTCTGTAAATTCAGTGTTCTAGAGAATGCTTAGCTGCTGTAGCTCGCTGGTCTGTAAAAAGGAATGACAACCAGAGAACGGTTAAATATATCAATTTTTTATGGAGAGCTACATACTCGTACGTACAGTACTGCAGCTAGAGCAGTTCAGCCACAGATAACTTTACCAATTGGAGACCTGAATTAGTCGTCAATTGGTAGAGGAAAAGAATCTGAAGGAAATATGACAGCATACAGGCATTAATGATAATGAAAGTATTGCGTATTTAAACAAGATGTGTTTGTGAAACACTGATGCCCCCGTTTGGCTACATAGCGAAGGTTAAATTTTCTCAAATGCAAATCAAGCATGTTGATACTAAAAGTAAAGGCTTCTCACACGAAATGTGAAATATAAAACCCTAGCAACGCCTATTCAAAAGTAATGGCCAAGGTTACAGTTCTTTAAAGGTAGAATACACGCCGGGGTCAAGGTCAAAGGGTCAAGGTTGTTGGTTTCTAAAGAAAGGTCTTGTCACCAAGATTACATTTGGGAAGTATGAAAGCCCTAGCCCTTACCATTCAAAAGTTAAAGCCAAGGTTTAAGTTTTTAAAAAATAGGTTAAACCCCCAGCTCAAGGTCAAAGGGTCAATGTTGTAGGTATCCAATGAAAGGTCTTGTCACAAGAATTACATATGTGAAGTTTGAAAGTCCTAGCCCCTACTGTTCAAAAGTTATTGCCAAGGTTCAATATTTTTTTAATGGTTCAATAACAAAGGTCAAGGTTACAGTTCAAAGTTGTTGGTATCTAATGGAAAGTCTTGTCACAAAGAATACAAATGTGAAGTATGAAAGTCCTAGCACCAACTTGTTCAAAAGTTATGGCCAAAGTAAAAGTTTGGAATTTTTGTTTAAAGTGTGTCAAACTCCAAGGTAAATGTCAAGAGGTCAAATCTGGCGGTACCCAAAGAAAGGTCTCGGCACAAGGAATACATCTGTGAAATATGAAAGCTATAGTCCCACCCAGTCAAAAGTTATATGCAAGTTTAAAATATTTTCGGACAGAGATAAACAGACATGGGCAGGGCAAAAACTATATACCCCGAAACTTCAATTACGGGGGCGTAAAAATCATCAAAGACTCCTGAATTCACACCCGATCGAACGCTGAGGATGTACTCAGCCCCCCCATCCCCATTCTGACGTTGCGAGAATGGCCAACTTTAAACATGTATTTGCTAAAACAAAAGGACCAAGAAAGATCTAGATCTTCTCATCTGATAAATTAATTATTGTCTGCAAGGGAACATTAAAGGTACTAGTACTTGGACACAGATTTGAAGTCAATATTTTCTCTATATTATTACGACTTCTATATTTTAATAGCATTTCACACAAAAATTAATTAAAAATCTTTTTTCACTTAAAAGTTATTAAAACTTCAAATTTTTTGGCGGTTTTGATTGACTCATCCTTGCACTTTCACAAATTTTAACCTTAATCTTAATCCTTAGGAAAAGTGGCAATCTTGTTGTGTATTAATGAGAAATATTAAAACTTTTATCCAGAAAAATAATTTTATTCAGAGTAGAAATGTTAGAAAACAAAATTCCTTCACAAGTATCGTCATTCCGAACTAAGAGTTGTGTACAGAGTTATCGAGCACACGTACTCGTGTTATGTACACAGTTTTTGTAAACAGGGCACGAGTTCTGTTATTGTTGATGTTTATATTTCACTGGGTGCATTCAAATGTCACAGTCTGTTTACCACATCTGCACGGACTGCCAATATATTGCGTGTTTGTTTTACTTTCGAACATGAATTGTCTACTCTGAATTTTCTGCGTTATAGTATTAATATTTTTCATTTATACACAACGAGATTGTTACTTTTCTTAAGGATTGAGAATAAAATTAATTTGTGAAAATGCAAGGATGCGTCAATCAAACCCGCCAAAAAATTTGAAATTTTAATATCTTTTATATGAAATAAGATTTTTAATTAATATTTGTGTGAAATGCTATTAA